ATGACATGAATCAGCCCATTTACAATTCTACTGTGCTTGAACGAGAAATGTCCCCCCTTTGGGAATAGCCTAAAGACACTACAGTCAGTGGCACTGCCCCACGGGGTTCTCAATGAAATTCCCCCAAAATTATATCAATAGAAATGTGGTTCAATGTAGAATGTACATGCAGAAACGCATGAGGAAATATACATAAATTAAAACGTTATGGGAGGTAGAGTGGGGTCACCCCCTCAGCAGCCTTGGTTCATGGGATTTCCCCTGGCACAGGGGCCTATTTACCAGCAGCTTTGAAGGGGTTGAACAAGCCAAAGGCCAGTAAAGGAAGACAAACAGGTGAAGAAATGGAAATGGATTGGGTACACCCTGAGGAGACCCCCGACAAGCATCATCAGACAGGTTTTGATGTGGAATCCACAAGGAAAACGTAAGAAAGAAAGACCAAAGATGACAATGAGGTGAGCGGTACAAGCAGACATGGAAAAGGCAGGAACATCATGGAAACAGCAAGAAAAGGACGCACAGGACAGGCTTTGCAGGAGAAATGTTGTTGATGGCCTTTGCTCCCCTGGGAGTTAAAAAGGGCAAGAGAGAATTGGACTAACATGAAGTGACAGTCCCAGCCCAATCCTTAAAGAGGGTTAACAAACAGAAACTTTACAGAACTCTGAATAACTGCCAAGACAGCCTAATATCAAATACTCCTTAAAGGAAAACAAAATCTCTAAAATCTATGAACAAAAACAACCACCCGAAACATTTCTTCATCAAAAAAAATTAATAACATAGAAAGTTGTACTTACTGTCAAAAAGAGTTTTACAGCACTAGCAACACAAATAGGTGATATAAATGTTGAAGACTAGAGGTGTTACTACAGTGTACTCGAGAGTAACATACAAAGAAATGGAGTGGAGATAAGGACACTAGATGTTTGATATGAAAGGAAGAAAAAACAAAACAATACCAGAGCAGTGATATGAACGCATTTTCAGGTGTGAAAAGTTGACATCAGACAATTTTTCTACACATTGCAAGTAAAAATCATGGGTACCATCAAGGCAAGCCTGAGTGTGAACATTGTTTAATCTAATTTTTTTCTTAATTTAATAACAAGTTTCTTTCCCTTAAGCATTTGCCAACTTGAAGCACTTATAGAACAAAAAAACATACATTGATTCCAACAACTGAAGCTGAAAAATAAGGGAAATTATGCTGAGGGTCTGTTTGAAGAGATTGCCAACAACCAACCCATACACCTATATTTTTACCAAGGTTTTGTTTTGCTTGATAGTAGTTAAGCAAAAATTTCTTTTACTGCGGCCCTCTCTCGTAGAATCATCGCACTGACAATTTTTCTAGATCTAGACAAATTTGCCCCCCAAAAAAGTTTCTTTCTGACAGTGATTTTTCAGCCCCGGCAACAATCCGAAAATACACAGAAAGAATGAGTGAATAAAAAAAAGGAGGAAATTGACACAAAAAGTTTGCTATCATCACCATGGCTTGTCAGATTTTTTAAAAGATTTAGTAGAGGTTTTACAGCGCTCGCAACTGCATACGGTCATGTGAGCGCCAGAAGATTAGAGGTGTTACAAGAGAGTAACAAACATAAAATAGAAGATGGGGAGATAAAGATGATAGACGTTCGATAGAAAAGAAAAAGCAAACCACATCAGAGCACCTGCCAACTACCCAGAGTCAGATTTTGATAAATCCGCTGGTAAAAATGTTGCCAACCAACCCGGAATGAATGCATAGCGAAATAATGGACAATTGCAGGAAATGCGCAATTTCAGGTTTCTATTTTGTTGAGAGTTACCGTAAATATCCAGAACTTGTACAAGACAAACACGAAGGCGAGTACGGATCCTTTGCCACTGAATTTCGGCGGCCCCACGCTATCAGTTTTTTATGGACAAAGTTGGTGACGATTGAGGAGCGAGTACAGAACTGTCAGATAGTACGGATGTCCGTAAAAATATGGAAGATCGGAAGCACTGTACATAAAACAGTCAAGAACAAATGCACAAACCTCTCAGTCAACCGAGAATGAAGAATGGCGTTGTCAGTGCGCAGAACAAATACAATGTCGAACCACCTCTCTGGAAAGAACTCACACGAATGGTAGTCAAGGACGTTTCCCCCCTGAGACATGCTATCTTCTAGTTCATCAATCACCTGAAAATATACCAAAATGAACAGAGACATTTTAAAAACTTCAGCATCGGAATTTTTCTCATTTGAGTTTGAGTAACATGCACAAGATAAAAATACAAGGGAGAAATAAAATAAAATGCAAAGAATTCTTTTGGTCGGCTAAACAAATATTCTCACAGCCATAAGTCTGAAGCAGGAATGCAGGTGGGCGTTATGACGGTTATGAGAGTGGATCAAGAAGTACTGGAAATTGTAAATATTTACATGTGCCTCAAAAACTGCAATTCCAAGGATAAGAAAACAGAACCTAAAACTTGGGATAGAAACTGGGAGATATGCATTTAACCATAGTGTTTAATTGTTTCTTCTTGGTCTGTCATTGGAGGCTCCAGTGGCTAACCTAAGTTGAGAGAGAAGACTCAATTGTAATGTCAAGCAAGTGTCAGTGACATGGGGTTTATATGGGCGGTCACTGGAGTGTGTCCTTGAGCAAGGCATGACAACCACAGACCAAAAGACAGGGCGCTGCACAGTGGTGACCAGCAATGGTATGTTTGTGAAATTGTTCTGGACTGGTATAATATTGTGCATTTATGTTATTTATGTAAGTATTGATATGTAGGTATGTATTTCTAATTAAGTATTTACGTATGTATTGTAACCCAAATTTCCCCACAAGGATCTTGAAATGTAATTTATAATTTATTGCTTATTTATTGTTTATAAGGCGAAGAAAATGAAGTTCCAGAACTGATCAAACGACCAACCCCATAGGTCTTCATAAAGTGTCATAAGCAATGCATTACACCGACTGTTCTTCAAAACCTTACTCTATCTTCGTCCAAAATTCCACACTGCAGCTCCTCATCATAACCATCCATACACTCAGCTTGTTCAGCAACTTCACCAACATTGACATATGACAACCCAGTCCGAAGAGCCAGTTCTTTGGCAAGGGTGGATTTCCCAGTGCCAGGAGTACCTGAAAAAAAAAAAAATTCATATAATTTCATCTATATAATATAATATGTAATACACTACTATTAATCTATTGGATTTGCATGGTCTGTGCAGAATCAGAATTGGACGCAGCTTTAAGGAGTTTATTACCTTGGTGAAGTTCTCAATATTTCAAACTTATCAGGCATAAAAACAACTTATTTACTACACGCTATAGCCTAGAGTTCAATGTATTTTCCAGAATTTCTTAGGTATATCACCAAAGAAACAATAAAAATTTACCTCATTTGAAACAAAACTAGATAAATCAGACCAGCTACCCTTATGAAATCTCAAAATCAGGATCTTCAGGGGAAAAAAATGGATTGTGAAAAAATCAGGATCAATGGCAAATCACCAAGATGACTGCCCAGCAGACTTTAAAAATTTCCAGGAGTGTCCATAAAAATCATAGTATGCCCTGTGCATGTGTGTGTGTGTTCTATCATTTTTTTAAAAATCCTGCACTCCTAGTTCAAATGTGTAACAATTCCCCCCTCCCCCAATAGGTCCTGAAAGACGCTTCTATCAGTGTGCATGAACTTAAGTTGACATTGCCAACGGTTGGTCCCCGTCCCCGACACACGCAGACGTCATGTCACATGATGTGAATGAGCGATTGAAACAGTTTTACTGACTGGTCTTGATGATGGGCCCGACTAACCAGAATTCGGACAAAGCATGTTTTGAAAGGAACAGCAGAGCTTTGAATAATATTGATCATTTGTATGTCGCAACTGAAACAGTTATCAGGCCATTATCAGAGAAATCTGAGGGTGGAAACAAAGCAAAAGTAAATCTGGAGAATGCCCAAAGTCGGAATGCCAAATGAATACTACTTCTATGAGTCTATAGTTGAAATAGCACGTGGGAGCAAAGGTTCAAAATTACTTATGTCGAGTCACATTACTAAATCTGTCATCGACATTTCGGAAAATAGTGCTCCGAATTACTGCTAACAAAAAGTTTAACGGGTGCTTCCTGCGACAAAGAATAAGGCAGAGTATGTTTTAAGAAAAATCTGGCGCAACAGACGGAACAAAAAAATCGGGGAGATCAAAATCAAGATGCTTGAACTTGAGATTTGGGGAAATAATTCAGTATAACCTGATTAAATCGGGATGAGTGGCAGACCAATCTGATCTACTTTTGATTGAGAGAGTCGACATAGCCTACATTACTTCAAACTTGCTCGGTGCCCATAATTATCTCACAAAAACCTCATGTTTGCAATAACGAACTCTCAGATTCAACAAAATTGAAGGTCAGGGTGTGAAACGGTTGTCGTCAGCTGATATCGCTGGTGGTTTTGTTCTTGAGCGAATCATTAATGACGGCTTGTGTGTGTGTGAGTGTGTCTTTGTTTGTGTGTGCACGTGTGTATGAGTCTGTTTGTCTGTGTGTGCGTGTGTGTGAGTCTTTGTTTGTGTGTGTGTGTGTGTGTGTGTGTGTATGCATTGTGTGTATGTGTGTTTCTCTCTTTCTCTCTCGATCTCTATCTTTTGAACACACACACACACATTTCATTTCCTCTCTGTCTCTGTCTTTTTTCATTCAGAAACACTCTCTCCCTTGCTCTCACTCTCTCTACCCCTTCTCCTTCATGCATTCAAATGTCTTCCCTCTTTCTGTATTCCGGAATACACCTACCTCTATCTCTCTCTCTTTCTTTCTTTCTCTCTCTTTCTTTCTCTCTCTTTCTGTATCTCTCTCTTAATCTCATCCTCTCTCTCTCTCTCCTCCTCATCCTCCTTTCTCTCTCAGATGCAGTTGAAATATTTTTTTAATTCACATATTATCGTAAAACATGTTTTAAGGCTTTTGAGTAGGCCTAATGATTTCTGTGTACATCAAGGTGTTGGAGTAATGATTTTTACTCATGCACTCGTCTCATATACGCCTACACATTTTATATGGTAGTGTCAATTGCCACCGAGCGACGCGGTGGCAATTGGCAAAAATTGACAGCTGCGTCAATTGCCACAGAGTAAATTGGAGCTCTTTTGCGTTGGTGAGTAGATCTAGCCTACTGTGCTCGAGTGCTCGGGGTTGTGCGTTCACCTCTCTGTCCCTCTGTCCCTCTGTGTGTGTGTGTGTGTGTGTGTGTGTGTGTGTGTCTTTTCTTGACCCCCGTCCCCCGGATTTATGTTACCCGATATAAAATGAATTTCTACTTGAGTTTGTGTGCGTTTGTGACCTAGAATAGCCTGTGTTGGTTCTACACCGAAGTGTAGGGTAAGGCTAGCCTAGATCTAGGCCTACGTCTCATTGAAAACACGCCAAGTTGGTACAGTGGAACTCGGATTTAACGAGCTCGGATTCAACGAGATGAGACAGATTCCCCGTGCTTTTTTCTTCTTTAAAATCAATAAAAATAATCCGGATTCAACGAGCTCTTAAATCAGCAAGCTCAGATTCAACGAGGTCGCTTCCAGGGTGAACTGCCCCCGCAGACGTGGCTTCACTCATTTTTCTCCCAGAACGAACTTTATCTATTCCCGGAAACCATCCATTGCAACTGCATCGTGAACCATTATTCACTTAGCCGATTGCATGCGACCAATCAGCAGCCTTTTTTTTCCATACCAACACATGCGTTGTTGGCTCGCGCACGGGTCTACTCTGGCGTGTGTCGGAGTCGGATGGGCGGCCTGCACACATGTGACTGTGTGTGTGTCGGGGAGGGAGGGGGGTGCACTAGCGATCCGGGCGTTGAACGTCGCAGATACAAACGCGTCACAGTCTTTTTTTTCCCTCGGCAACTGATCATTAATACAATGATAAACTAGTCTTGACGTAGATCTTCGTAATGAATTGTGCGCTTGTCTATGAATTCAAAAGTTGCCGTTATGCTAGGATCTACACAGCAACACAACTTTGTGGTAAACAATCGAGATGACACAGGAATGCATTTGAAGGAATCGGTTTTTTTTTTTACACAGCTCATAATATGCAGGCCTTTCAGGCACTACTTGTGACTTATCTTTATACATTACTTGCTCAGTGATTGTAATTGTCTACACAAAACCTCATGTTTGCTATAACTAACACTCGGACTCAACGAGATTTTAGGTCAGGCCCGGCGAACTCGTTGAATCCGAGTTCTACAGTACCGTAGCTCTAGACTAATGCTTATCCAATGAAATTAGGACCCATTAGACACACATTACGAATAGAAAGCTAAAAATAGTGTTGTTTTCAGACTTGACACCGCTTCACTCAGTGGCAATTGACACTATCGTCAATTTTTGTCGGTGGCAATTGACGTTACCATTTAAATCTGGTAGTATTTTGCATGCTGAACACGAATAGGGCCCATGGCCTTCATTTTTGCGGCAAATCAATCTAATAGATAGATCTAGGATCTCTGGAATCTAGATTCTAGATCTAGATTAGATTCTATTGAGTTATTGATGTTTGAAAAGAGAAATAATATTCGGTGTGTCTACGTACACGGTAAACGGGCACCTAGTCTCACCTGGTCTCAGTATCTATGTACACGGTAACCGGGCACCTAGTCTCAGTATCTATGTACACGGTAACCAGAATTAAAATAAATCAAAATTTGTCCTGTGCTGTCAGTTGCTGAAAAAAAAAGAAAGTCATTCAAGCGTCTTGTCGGGCTCGCCATCGTGACCAGTCAGTGAACCTGCGCGTGTGCACCACATTGTGAGTACCGGTTGGAGTCACCAAAGTTCATTAAAAGTCTGTGCGCTGCGAAGTATAGGGCTCCGGAATGGAGGAATTCTCCCCTGCTGGTGGGGGGCCCTGTAGTTTTACTATGGGGGAGCAAAGAAAACCCCTGCCGTGATACTGTGTGTTGTAAGAGGCGACGAAAAGTGCATAGGTCTGGTGGCCCGAAAAGTGCCAGTTTGCGGAGGGCCAACTACCCAACCCAGTAAAAAACAGTAAGTTACAGAAACATGGACAAACACAGCTTTTTATTTTTCGATCTTGGGAGACGGAGGAGCTTCTGCATCAGCAGGAACAATGAAGGACAGCGGACAAAGCTGAAAGGACTCTTCTGACCCGAAACCTTCTCTGTCGAACAAGTCTCTCCGGATTGCGTCGTGGAATGTTCGCACCTTGTATGAAGCAGGAAAGAGTTCTCAAGTAGTACAAGAGATGAAGAGATACAGGCTGCACATACTAGGAGTCAGCGAAACACACTGGATACAGTCTGGACAGAAGCAACTCGACTCGGGGGAACTAGTATTGTATTCTGGGAGGGAAGACAAGTACCATGCGGAAGGATTGGGAATCATTTTAAGTAAGTAGTAAGTATGCACAGAAGTCACTTAGAGGATGGGAACCACACGGGGAAAGGATCATCATGGCTTCATTCACTACAAGGAGCAAGAGCATCAACATGAATATAGTACAGATCTACGCCCCAACAAATGATGCGTCGGATGAAGACAAGGATGCCTTTTACAGCCAGCTCCAGGGGGTCATCGACAAACCTACCAAGGAAAGATGTCAACATCATAATGGGAGATGCCAATGCCAAGATTGGTCAGGACAACGTGGGGTATGAAAGAATTATGGGACAACATGGCTTGGGACAAATGAATGAGAACGGGGAGCGATTCGCAAATATATGTGTTTTCAACAGTTTTGTTATTGGAAGCTCTGTTTTTCACCACAAGAAGATCCACAAGGCCACATGGGTTTCGCCAGATGGAGTGACGGAGAACCAGATAGATCATTTTTGTATCTCTCGTAAGTTCAAGCGTTCACTGGAAGATGTCAAAGTACAGGAAGATGTCAAAGTACAGAGAGGGGCAGATGTTGGATCGGATCATCATCTGTTGTTGGCAAAACTCAAGCTTCGAATCAAAAAGCACGGAACCAGCACAGGAATCAAAAGAACAAAGTTCCAAGTAAGTCTCTCGGACGGACACAAGAAAGAAGAGTTTCAGCTGCAGCTGAGGAACAGATTTCAACCTCTGGCTGATCTTGACGGTGAGGACACGGAGGTGGATACACACTGGACCAAGGTCAAAGAAGTCTTTTACATCAACATGTCAAGAAGTACTCGGTGGGAAGAAATGGGAGCACAAGGAATGGATTAGCCAACACTCATTGGATTTAATTAGGATAAGAAGACAACTGAAGGCAGAAGCGAATGCAAGTAGAACAAGAGGATCAAGAGCGGATGCATTGGAGCAGTACAGGACAACAGCTAAAGATGTCAAGAAATCAATAAGAAAAGACAAGGAGGAATTCATAAACAGGCTAGCAGAGAAGGCCGAGGAAGCAGTGATAGGAGGGCACATGTGAATCCTTTACTAGACCACAAGGACACTTGCTGGAAAATATGGGAAACCTGAAGTACCTGTAAAGGACCAAGAAGGGAAAAGCATTTTTGGAAAGGAAGCTCAGTCTAAGCAATGGGTAGAGCATTTCAACAGTCTCCTGAACAGACCACCACTGAGTAACCCACGAAACATACTGCCAGCAAGAAATGAGTTACCTATCTGCTGTGATGCTCCTTCAAAACAAGAGATTCTGGATGCCATCAAAAAGCTGAACAAAGGTAAAGCGGCCGGTCCCGACCAGATTCCACCTGAAGTCCTAAAGGCTAAAAGCAGATGCTAATGTGACGGCAGACATCCTCCTCCCACTGTTTACCAGGATCTGGAATGAGAGCAAGTTCCGAAAGGATTGGAAAGAAGGACACCTCGTGAAGCTTCCAAAAAAGGGGGATCTCAACAACTGCAGCAACTACAGAGGGATCACTCTTCTCTCAATACCAGGTAAGGTCTTCAACAGAATCATTCTGGAGAGAATCAAGACAGGAACGGATCCAAGACTACGGGATGAACAGGCCAGTTTCCGGAAAAATCGCTCAACCACCGACCAGATTGCCACGCTGAGGATTATTGTAGAACAGTCCCTGGAGTGGAACTCCCAGCTGATTGTCAACTTCCTTGACTATGAGAAGGCCTTTGACAGTATAGACCGAGCGACACTATGGAAGATAATGAGACACCACGGAATCCCACAGAAGTTGGTGAACCTCATCAAGAGCATGTACGAAGGGACAAGTTGAAGGGTTGTACATGATGGCCAGCTCCCTGACAGCTTTGACATCAAGACTGGAGTGAGACAGGGATGCTTACTATCATTGTTCCTCTTCATATTTGCAATCAACTGGCTGATGAAGGAAACCACCAGAGGACACAGAAATGGTATACAGTGGACACCATGGACACAGTTGGACGATCTGGATTTTGCAGACGACTTGGCGCTTCTGTCGCACACCCAGGAACAGATGCAAGCAAAGACTTCAGTATTAAACAGCTTATCGGAGTCTGTTGGATTGAGGATCCATCCCGGAAAGTCAAAGGTCCTAAGGACAAATGCACAACGAAAGGAGCAGGTCACAATAGAAGGAAAGGCCCTAGAAAACGTTGAATCCTTCTGCTATCTTGGGAGCATAATTGACAGAGAGGGAAGAACAGGTGCTGAAATAAAGTCCCGCATTGGAAAAGCAGAGGCTGCTTTCATATCTTTGGATAGGATTTGGAAGACCAGAGAGATCTCACTTCGAACAAAGCTGAGGATTTTCAATTCAAATGTGAAGTCGGTCCTGTTGTATGGATGTGAAGCATGAAAGTAGAGAAACGCATCACAGACTACTTGATAAAGAGGATCCAGGTTTTCTTGAACAGGTGTCTAAGAAAGTTACTGAGGATCAGATGGACAGACAGGGTCACCAATGTGGCAGTGTTAAGGAAAACAAGACAGATCCCAGTCAGAGATGAGGTAGGAAGAAGGCGGTGGCGATGGATTGGACATACTCTCAGGAAGTCAGGACTTGCATTTAAAACAAAGAAAGTTTTGGATTGGAACCCACAGGGCAAGAGATCAAGGGAAAGACCTCGTGGAACCTGGAGAAGAATCACAGAAATCGATGTACAGAAAAGTGGGAAGACATGGACTAACATCAAGAGGCTAGCCCAGGATAGAGAAAGGAAGAGGCTAGCCGTACTAACCCTACCCTTACCCCAAGCCCTCAATTCTGCTCTGTCTCATAGTGGTCGCTGTTATGGAAGTCCTCCCAATCAATCAATGCATCTCTGTGTGTGGGTGCATAATAAGTAAAAATTTACCCAGTGTAATCCATCAAATGTCTATTCTAATACAACATGGCACATCTAAACATGACAATGATTCAACATCAAAGTACTGTTACCTGCAATCATAATATTAGGGGCTACACGTGACGGAACAGATGCCATGTTTTCGTTTTCCACACGCTTCACGCTCCGCTCAGCTCAGTGTGCAGTGTGCTTGCTTGCTTAGATCTAATGGTTCCCTCCCCTTGCTTGCTTGTGGTGTTGTCGGTCGGAAGCGCAGGCAAGGCCAAGGCTAGTCGGATCCTTTTCCTGTACTCGAGTAGTAAAAACTTCAATATTCGACTACTCTTAGGACGAATAAAAAGAACTATCAATTAATTGATCAGCCTTGGGCCCATAATAATTAATCCGAGAAATAGTTTAACTTTATTATCCCAGTGAGACTTTTTTAAAGAGACAATTGATTATAAGTGTATTGTTGTTCATTCAAATTAACGTTTTGAAAAACAGTGGAATTAAAGGGCAGATCAAGCTTCACATTATATAGATATCTAGATTCTATAAGTATAAGAACTTAATTTAATCCAGGTGCAATTTATAACAAAGTGTAGATCGGGAATAGCGGATACAGATTCTTTATATTAGGGCGTTTTCAAATAGTCATACCTCTATCGAAGCTCACTGTTACTCTCACTTTCAACTAAGATTTCGAAAACAAAGATACATGATGTTCACACATCGTGTTGTTGAAAATTATATGTAAAATTCAAAATCAATGAATAAATTCTGAATCTGGCTGGTTGCAGGTAGAAATCAACCCTCAGTTAATTTGTTCCCTGCATGTAGCTAGCCTACAGACATACATAATATATAGCGTATAATATTGTGCATTGTTTAAGAGGCCAGTCGTACTTATATGATGGCTAGACTTACCGCACAAAAAGGCCTACTGAATTGCAACAATGAGATTTTAGTTTGCATTACTTAAAGTATTTGTATTTGAGACGAAACCAGGTGCTTTACTGACAGTGCATGTATTTTAAACCTGAATAATTACTAATGAGACTTGTTTTCTATAATGTTAGGCCCTAAGATAAGTTATACGGCTAGACTGGCAGACTAGCGCCGTACTTAAGGACGGCTAGCCTACTTAATAATGATGGCTGAGTTGAAAATGAAACTTTTAGTTTACAATGCCTAAAGTATTTGTATTTCAGACAAAACCTAAAAGGTGCCTACTGACTTGCATATATTTTAAACTTGAATAATTACTAGATCTAGATCCAATGAGACCTGTGTACTCAACAGGTTTGAGTCAATAGGGCCAAACCTAGATCTAAGTACGGTTAGCCTAGCCACTTCGACTGTATAAAACTATTAGTAGTATTAGAATAAATTAGATGTCTTGATCTAATCTTTCCACTGTTTCCTTTCCCTGGAGAAGTGAGGACTCGACTCGCTTTGAAGCAGGACTCGCTGATCAAATTCAGATTCAGACAAATAAAAGAAAGGTAGGATTCGATATCAAGTAGGCAACTAGAAACAAAAGCATCTTTACCTTTGAACTTTGAACTTCAACCCCTGTGTATTTGCTTGCAGAAATCATCTTATCAAGCACGAAGTTCAAGCAGTCAAGTAGGCTTCTATTTATTAGATCTAACTAGATTTCTAGATCTATCAGATCTGAATCTGGTATCTTGCATTTCAGTCTCACTCATTTATTATCTAGATTCAGATACATTCACCCTGCCAGATTCTATAATTTTTCATTTGCCATGATGCTTGAGGCTTGAGGCAAGCCAGGAGGGCCAGGGCCAGAGATCGAGGACAGTGACAGTACAGTGTGAGTGCAGACTTCTCAAGACGAAGGCAAGAGACCTTTCAGCAGAAAGTGAGAGACACATTTTGTGTATTAAGATATAAATCTAGACTCTAGTTGAAGTAGTTTGTTACTGTTTCTGTTTTTGTTACTGCAATGAGCAATGTGCAATGGCAAAATGTGCAATGGCAATGCTTTGTTTTCAGTGCTCTTTCGTTATATATATTGATATTTAGGCCTCGTCTAGATCTATAGATTATTATAAAGTCGAACCTGTGCAAGATGGAATCGCAAGGGAGCCTGAAAAAAATTCCGTCTTAGACAGTGAAATTTAATGGGGAGATGGAGCGGGGGTTCAAAGGCCCAGCCGATGGGATCACGGGTTGCTCTTGTCCAGTTGGCAAGCAATCACGATTAATTTAAGTGGTCAAAACTTCCCACCTCTCAACAGCTTTTATATTAGACTTATATCCTCGCTCCCGCCTTTACTTTACTTTATATATAGATCTAGGCCTAGATGTGAGAGGGTATGTTTCCACACGAGAAATGTTACGGGGAAAAAATATTTTAAAATGCAGAAGTGATGGTCAGAATTTAATACAGCTCAAACACGCGCACACTGATGCTGTTTGAGATTTTCGTCATCAGGGAGAACAACTGTTTTAATTACTGGTATTGGTACATCGTTTAATAATAATAATAATAATTGCATTTATATAGCGCATATCCATGCTCAAGAGCATGCTCTATGCGCTTTACAACTATTATTACCCCAGCAGACCCTCTGAGAACACTCAGAAACATTCTCAGCTTCCGAGGAAACATACTGTGCAAGCTGCGGATTTCACACGCTCAAACACTATCAAACTGACAAGATCTTTCACTGTCTATAGCCGGGTACCCATTTCCACCTGGGTGAAGTGAGGAAAATTAGTGCAAAGTGCCTTTCCCAAGGACACAACGTCGGGCCCCTGACGGGATTCGAACCCATGACCTTACAGTTGCGAGTGCGAGTCCGAGAGCCTAACCACTAGGCCACCGACGCCACAATATAATAATCATTTTAATAATTTGTCTCCTTTCTTTTCTTTAGTCTCAGTCACGTTCAACAAGAGGTCGGATCCAACGAGGACAACAAGCCGGTCCTGGCAACCTCGTTGAATGCGACACCCACTGTATTAAAAACAGAAACATTTGAACATCTTTGCTTCCTCCCTTACCCCCACCCATCGGTGTAATAGGCACACTAGTCAACCAATGCCACCACTCACTGTCATGTAACAATGATTCGAGGAACTCTTTTCTCAGCTGGCTGTACAATTAGGGCGGCAGGCTTTAGTTTAGTCCAACTAATTTTACACAGCTCTTTCAATTGAGATATATTTTAATTTCTATATTTGGCTACCAACTTAAGTTGCTGTGGTGGAGCGCCACTCACGCACTTTCACTGGCACTCGTCAGATTTCACACCCACACCACCCTGACCATCTTCACCTCTCAGGGCTCTCATAGATGGGGTAAATTGCACCCCTACCCCCCTTCCTCGTCCTGCAGAATGGGATTAAGTTTACAGCCGGCGGACAGAATCAAACTTGCGAGTTTTGTTTTAAATCAGGACTGAAAGGGCAGAGAATTTTCCGTCTAAGGTAAAATCCTCCGAAGGAAGTGGATTTTTTTTTCTGTTTCCGCGTTGGACAGGTTTCCGTTTTACACAGGTAATGAAAGAGGAATATATCAAGGGGGGAGCGGGGAGATTCTGTTTAAACAGGTTTCCGTTTTACACAGGTTTTAGTTAAGGCAGGTTCGACTGTACTTACTTTTAATGTTTACTTTTTCATTCTCTGTTGCCATTAAACATACAGGAGAGATTCAGTTTTCTATGGTAGGCCAGCTCCGCACAGCTCTTTCAATTGGGATATTTTAATTTCTATATTTGGGATTCCTTGACTCCCATGGCCTTCCTCTTCCTTCATAGCCTGAGTGCTTGGTGTGTAGCTTCTTGAGGCAGGCTGGCTAGGTGACATTTGTAACAGGTGGCCAAACCATTTTATCCTGTTTTTTTATGAAATGCAGGTAGGACTCGGTGCCAGTTGTTGCCCTTACTTCTTCATTTTTCTGCCTGTCTCATCTTGTGATATCAAGGTTTTGCGGAGACATTATTTCATCTTGCACGCAGCGGTTTTGCTTTCAAATTAATGTCCAGTTGATAAGCTGTCTCTTTCATCTTGTCATGTAGATGTTTGGATGAGATAAAAGGGGTGCGTTGGCTTTTTGGGTTTGCATTTCTATTTCTCTGTCTATGGACCTGTTTCAATAAAAAGTACAGTCATCATCATCATCAATGCCTTTCACCCCTAGCAGGGTATAGGCCACATGCAAGCTCCTTCCATTTATCTCTGTCCTGAGCCATCCTTCCAAGCTTGTTCCAAGTGAGCTTCATCTCTCTCATGTCCCTTTCCACGCATCTCCTCCATGTTTCCCGTGGCCTACCCCTGCCTCGTGCTCCTTGTGTGTTCCACTGCAGTGACTGTCTTGTGATGTTTACGCCGGGCTTTCTTAAGGTGTGTCCCGTCCATCGCCATTTTCTTAATCTTATTTCTACTTCTGTATATCCGATTATCCTTTTGTCCTGTCCTTTCCCACAGCTCTTCATTTCTTATTTTGTCCTGCCACTTAAATCTTAGAATACTCCTCATACATCTGTTGATGAAAGTGTGGACTTTATTCAGTACTGTCTTTGTTGTCTTCCAAGTTTCGCAGCTGTAGAGGAGCTCAGACTTGACGTTGGAGTTAAAGAGTCGAATCTTGGTGCACAGTGAGATGTTGCTTGCTTTCCAGACTTTTGATAATTGATTGAATGCTGACCTTGCCTTGGCAGTTCTTGCTTTAACATCTGCCTCGGTTCCACCTTTACCATCGATGACACTTCTGAGGTAGGTAAAGGAGTCCACTTCTTCCAGTGGAGTGTCTTCCACTGTCACGGCAGGGCTTGAAACTTTTCCTAGCTTCACTACTTTTGACTTGCTTGGATGTATACGTAGGCCAACACTCCTTGATAGGCTGTTGAGTTCCTTGGTCTTTTCTTGCATCTGAGCATATGTGTGAGAGAGCAGTGCAAGGTCATTGGCGAAATCCAAGTCGTCCAGCTGCTGCCAAGGGATCCACTACTGTATTACATTATGTTTGCCTCTGGTGGCTTCTTTCATGACCCAGTCAATTGCCAGTATGAAGAGAAAAGGTGAGAGCAAGCATCCTTGTCGCACTCCTGTCTGTACCTGGAATGGTTTTGATGAGAGTTGTCCTTCGTGGAAGACTTGGCAGTTTGTTCCATCATAGGGGGCCTTCACAAGCTTGACGATTTGGTCAGGTATTCCAAAATGCCGCATGAGTTTCCACAGAGTTTCCCTGTCCACGCTGTCAAACGCCTTTTCATAGTTCCTTTGTTCTTACTGAGCTTCTGATGTTGGTATATATATAGAGCTCTGACATTGTCTAACAGTCAGTTGTCCTCTGACACCATACTTTTCAAAAGTGTCTTCCAGAATTTGGCATGGTTTATTCTGTCAAAAACTTTCTCCTGATCTATGAAGACATATACATAGTATATGTACATGTGTGTGTGTGTATAAAATATGTACAGTCAAACCTGCCATGACGGCCACTTGTATAATATGGCCACCTGTACTGACGGTCACTTTCCATCCCCCCCCCCCCCCCCCTTGCGTTTTTTCTCTGTATAAAAGGCTCACTTGTCCAACATGGCCGTGGCCACCTTATAATTTTTATTAACCCACAGTTAAGTTTACTTGCCTCAGGCGGCTAGGCGTGGTCACTCATTGCCCGATGCTTTGTCATAAATTTTGAAACGGCTCCTGAGACTGTGGACAGGCTGTCATAATCCATTCTCCTGTTGTTATTGTTAGTCCCCCCAATGAATGTTTACCCAAGTTCATCAATGGGTAACAATAAATTTTCAACTGCTGGTGAGGGAAGCATTTGATCTGTCATAACATACAGAAGCCCCAGCCCACAACTCATTCACAAACCATGTGTGAGGTGACTGGTCACTGTTTTGTTTACTTAATCTGTATCAAAGTAGCAATGGACGTTAACGTGAACTTGCGATAGAAGCGCCAATTACTCTTAGAGTGGTGGCAACCCAGGGATTGTTTAAGCGTGGCACTCACTTCTGTCTTCATCGTCTTTCATATATTTCTTTTATTTTACTCTTGCACAAAATCAGCAACAACAAAAAAACGAACCAAAACACAAACCAACTAAACAACAAAACTCTTTTCATACCACCCACCCCTCCTTTTTCAAAATAAAACAAAAACCCTTTTGAATTAGCCTTACGGCAGTCCAAATCCTGAGATCAGCCCTGGTTCGGACCTCGGAAAAAAATGGTTTGCCTTTTTTAATTTGACCAGTCCTGCTTAAGACAGCCACCTGTGTTATTTGACCACTTTTCACCTTGACAATGGGTGGCCGTTTTTCACAGGTTCGACTGTATATAAAATGTTTTATACAGTCGATCGAACCTGTATGGGCTACCCATTGTTGAGGAGAATAGTGGCCGTTTAAGACAGGTGGCCATCTTAGGCAGGACTGATCAAAATGAAGAAAACAAACCATTCTCTTCTGAGGTCCGAACCGAAGTGGTTGGTGGCTTAGGACTACCATGCTAATTAAATGGGTTTTTGTTTTCTTTTTTTTAAAAAGAGGGGGCGGGGGAAGGTTATTTTTGTTGTTATTGTTGCTTTTTTTGGATAGATGGATTTTTCTAATGTTATTTGCTGGTTTTATGTAAGGGTTAAACTACAAGAATGCCTTAACTAATGTCAAACAGACAACCGTTTTGGCCAAAAGAAACAAATGGAGCAACACAGTCACAGGCTTCGACCTACTTAGAAACGGAGCCAAAGCATGGTCACTTCTCGCCAACTTATGTTGGGAAAACGCAGCAACAGCCCAAAACCCATGGACACGGAGGAAGGCGCTATTGTTGAAGAACAAAAAAAGACAGAAATGTTCAACAAGTTCTTTGCCTCAATAAACAAAGCCACACCTCACACTGACCGACATAAAGAATGTCTGAAAAAATTGAAAGAGAAAGAGCATGTGCCAAGTGCAATTATCTCTCTTTGAAGATAACTTCACCCTCACTGAACTCAACAGCGCAACGAAGAAACTGAAGCCTGACATATCCCCAGGACCAAATAAAATCCACAATGAAATGCTTGTCAATCTCAATCCTGCTGTAAGGATACTATCCTCCAGCTTATCAACAAGATGTGGAATGAAAACACCATCCCCAGAGCATGGAGAAACGCCGTCATCACCCCCATTCTTAAGAAAGGAAAACTTGCAGAAGAATTGAAAAGCTATCGACCCTTCTCATTCACCTCATGCATCTGGAAACTAGCAGAGGATGGTTAACCACTGCCTATACTGGTGGTTGGAAACAAATGGTGCCTTGGACCGAAACCAAGCAGGATTTTGTGCGAGCCAGCAAAAGGAGATGACTGGCTCTCCATGCTCAGTCAGAGAGTCCTTGATAGCTTCCTGGAAAAGAAACACACTGTGGCGGTGTATGTCGATCTCCAGCAGGCATACGACAAGGTATGGAGAAAAGGATTACTGTCGAAGATGACATATACAGATAGGTGAAGACCTTCCTTACGGACAGGACAATCCAGACCAGGATGAACAATAGTGTGTCATCCAAGGTTATATTGGAGGAGGGCCTACCCCAGGGTTCCTGTCTGAACTGCACACTCCTCCTTGTCTTCATCAAAGACCTACCTGAGAAACTGAAATCGAAAAAGGCGCTATATGCCGATGACCTAGCCATCTGGCATTCAAGTAAACAAGCTGGCATCAGTGCACGACTTGTAAATGAGGACCTAGATAGATTTGACAACTACTGCTGCAAGTGGAAACTAAAAGCAAATTGTACCAAGACAATGTACACCGTCTTTATGAAAAGTCACAAGGCTGCAAAGCAAAATCTCACCATCTCACTTTCAAGAAACAAACTTGAAAAAGTTGAAAACCCAACCTGCCTCATGCAAAATCATCAGAAGTCTAAGGCCAAACAAGAGACTTAAAACCTTCTCAGGCGGCTGGCTAACACCTCGTGGGGAGTGGACAAGGATTCACTAAGACAGCTATATGTTGGCTATGTACACTCAGCAATAGAATATAACTTAACCCAATAGACAACCTGCAGCAAACCAACTCAGGGGTCTCTTGATTCAGAATCAAGCTGTACGATTTATCTCAGGAGCTTTGAGATCCACTCCAACTGTAGCTTGCGAAATCCATACAAGCCTGGAACCTTTGAATCTGTGGAGAGAGGCAACAGTTGTAGAGGTGAGTGAGCACTGTAAGAGACAGAAAGATCATTGAACAGAGAAGACTAAAGAAACGAATCCATGGAAGATCAATACTCGACACAGCCACCAAATTAGAAGAAAAACACCACCTTCCATGTGACAGAGAAATGCTGAAACTCTTAAGACCAGAACTCCCCCTAAACACCAACACCAAGAATGCCAAAATCAAAACTTCAGTCATAAAGGAGACAGTGAAAAAGGAATGTGACTCAGTAGAACTGAAGACCACAGCTCTCAAAACTATTTCCGTTTTAGACAGGTATAAAAACCCTCCGAAGGGAAGGAATTTCTCTTTCCGTTTCGGCATTAGTCAGGTTCCTTTACAATTGTGTTTCCTTTATTCCCTTAACCTTTGACATTCTGTTTCTCTGTTTTTCTTGTCCCCCCCAACCAGGGCAGTGCTACCGACTGAAGTTGTCTTTAGGCCATTCCCAAAGGAGGGATATTAACATGTTCATATGGCTGTATCTTGAGTAATATTTGTCTTCCACCTAGTTTTTTAATCTTCTCCATCATCCATCTGTACAAATGACCACTTGCCACTAACATTATGTAATGGCCTGTCTGACACAACCACTATTTTATCAAACAAATGGACAACGCAAATTTCTCATTGCCTGAAACTGAAACGTTGCCATAAATTGACGCTTAACGTTATGGAGGAGCAGTCAAAAAATGTTCTTCTGTGTACGAGTGAGGCATGCAAATAGTCATACCCCAGAAGCTCTTCCCATAATTAGAGGAAGACAGTGTGCAAGGGTACAACAAAATGAAATGTTACAGACTGAGTAAACAGTGGGACCACCAATCTCATGCTTTGTGTGGTCAGTGGACAGGGGCTTCTGGGTCACAACGGTTCTTTTTTATTTATTTGGTAAAGGGTCCTGGGAAATTTATTATAAATCGTGCAAAACTGCGTTTATTCATGGAACCTGAAGTGTTGTTCCATTATGGAATTATATTGTTACTCTCACTAACCATACAAGATATTTGTTTCGCTGTACAGGATATAAATTATTTTTAGAAAATGATATTCATACACATGTATATGCACAATCTCAGTATTCATGATTAGGAGAACAAATAATGGCAGTAATTTTTGTAGAACTTTATCAAAACATCAGTAAAGTGCAAGAGTTTATTATACATTACCAAATCTGATTGTGATACTGGAAAAGTTTACGCTTGTTGTAAAATGTTCTCACTCTTCATTCACTCCCTCTATCTACATACTATTTTTCTATTAAAATGAAAATTTACAGCCAACAGATGTCTTTCTCAATTCGCTCTCTCTCTCTCTGTTTGTGCCTTCCCCTACTAATACTATCTCTTTCACTCTTCTATCTTTGCTCCTGTCCTCTTTATCTCCCCTTCTTTTGTCACTGAATAGTGCCTTTTAGCTTTATTTAGCCTATTATGTAGATTAAGTTTACAGGTCAGCAGAAGTGCTTGCAGTACTGAGAGGACACTCACATTCACATGTGCATGACGTTCTCTTTTCAGAGTTTATAGATTTCTCCCAAAATGCAGCAGTTGATTCGAACAGCATTCGTTACTGGTGGGGCACAGGGTTTGGGGAGAGGATTCTCTAAAGCTCTCCTTGATCGAGGAATAAAGGTAGGATGATTTCTGTTTTTGCGTGTAATTTTGCAATTCCATTACAGTGGGAGAGAAATTGTTTCAGATGTTATCTGTAAGAGTTAGTTTATTGCTTACTGAGTGTCCTTTGGTGACTGGCAACATGCTTGTTTGCTACTTCTGCTGAAAAAAGTCTGTCAGAACAATAATGTATTTACAGGATGTGACACTTGTGGTGTTTTAAAATGTTGCCTTTTACTGATCTCTTGTGCAAAAATCAATGAATTCTTTAGCCAAAGCTGGGGGGGGGGGGGGGTTCATCTTACTGTATGCCCAGCCAGTAACGAGTCACTTTGATTTTGGTGAAGGTCAGGGCTGTTAGCAAGACATAGCACCTCTCTATGCAAATAATTAGATACCAGCATGAAATCAGCATGTACAATAAGTATACTGGCTTGTGAGCAGCAACATGAGTGGAGTCTCGCAGTCTCTCTGGCTTGATTTTTTATCTGGTTTTGACTGTGACATCTATCAATTGTTTGTTCATAAATTAATTAAATTATGATTATACTTGTTTGTTTTATGTTAGAATTCATAATGTGTAAAGAGTACTTCTTAAGGTCAAGTTCCTTTGAGTGTATTTATATATATCGTTAGTTGTTTTTTTCTAACCGCATGTGACCCCATTACCATGTTTGGCTTATATTTTTTTACTTTACCCCTCTGGACAGGTATGCTTCGCAGATGTTCAAGCCTCAGTTGGCAAGAGCACAGAAACTGAATTTAAAAGCCTTTACGGAGATGATAAAGTCATGTTCTGTCACTGTGATGTCACTTCTGTGAACAACTTGGAAGGTATGAAATGTTGCAAATTGCAAAAGTCAAGTCTTCCCATTTCAAATATGATTGACTTAGTGCAGATATCAGAGGTCACAGTGAGGTTTCAGAGATGTTTTACAAGGACAAAAAATAGTAGGTTGTGATCATGGATGGGTTATTCTTTACTTTTACTCTGACTGTTATTTGATAAGTCTCAAGTTATTTTATGGAATAAAAATGTTACACAAAACCTCATGTACATTATGCTGTGATCCTTTATTTGTCTTTCCCCAACTTGATATTTTTTGTTGTTTTGCTTTTTGCCTGAGAGATTAGTACAGTGCATCCTCTGTATAACGACGTTGTCGGGACCAGAAAAAAATGTTGTTATAGAGAGGCAACCAAAAATATTACTAAAAAGGAAAAATTTGGGACCTGCGCACAATGTCGCTATAAAAAGGATGTCGTTATACAGAGGATGTCGTTATATCAAAGGTATTATATTTATAGAGAGGCTGCACTGTATCATTGTGATTCTGAATTTTTGGGTAAGATTATTCTTCTTTGTTTAGTGGACTCTGTAGCAAATTTGCACCTTTACTGACTTCATAAGTCTAGCGTGGAGCTGTGCAAAGTCAGCTTCGGGAGCCTTTACTCCCTGAGAGAAAGTCATTTTCTTTTACTACAGTACAGAAAATAAAGATATTCTGTAATGTTCCTGAGATATATGCTAATGTATGAAAAGTTATGTGTCAGATTGATAAATATAGATCTCTATATCATCATCAAAAGTAGATGTATTATAGATTGCTATATTATCTTTATGATTGATGTGTATGGGAAAAAGACAAATTTGATCCCACTTTTATCTGAATATCCTTTTAAAGGACAGTTTGAGCAAGGGAGCATATGTTAAACCCAGTTTTGTTTTGTTTTTGCTTTTAATCTTCGCAGATTCCTTCAATGCAGCAGTAAAAAAGTTTGGTCATGTTGATCTTATGGTGAATAATGCTGGCATCGGAGATGAGTCAAAGCTTGTACAGATGATCAGTATAAATCTGGTTTGTAGCACTGAGATTATTTAAATATTTTTGTTTATAGTGTATCTGTAGTGGCAAAGTTCCATTGTGCTCTTCTATTCTTTTCACGTCTGTCAGGTAATATGTGAACACAGCTTTTCTTATCCTTTATCAAGGTATTTTCTTCTCAGTGTAAAGTCCACCGACTTAAGGGCCTATTACATGTACAGGCAGACCGGACAGGTTTTTGACAGTAGGCAAACCGTACGGCCAGACGAAATCGAGGAAACTTGACTGTTATTACACGCCACAATCAACCTGAAGGCAGCCCCCAGTAGGCTAGGCCAAGAAGCTTTCTCGGACTAGGCCTACAGACAGAATCGGAAATGATCAAATGCATGTCGGGTAATTTTTAAAAAATACAAACCCACCATCTCACACACATGCACGGGCGTGCGCGCAAAGCATAAAAAAGTGCAGGAATAGAAAATCCTTAAATACAAAACGAAACAAGTCATTCGCGAGCCATTTCCCTAATTTAGATACGCTGATTCTGAATCTGGTATCATTTTTTATCTACGACATGAGATTTTCTATAATTTTGAAATTAGTTCTGTAGTCCTCGGGGCAGCAAACTTCAAATATTAGTCGGCACTCCCCTCAAGGCCGGATGGCTGGACTTCAAATTCACAGGTAGTGGCTGTGGGTTCTTGACATCCGGCGGGCCGGGTATTTGCCGGGTATTCGCCTACGGTTTGATCCAAATTTCTTATCACACGTTGCGATTAGCCGTACGGCCCAGAAACCTGGCCTGTAGGCCTACATGTAAAAAAAGGCCCTTTAGCTTATGTTGAAGAGAGTGTTCAAGTGTTTTAGCCCCCCCAAGAAAGATGATTTTCCCCTTCTTTGAGGAGAAATTTCTTTGGTTACAGTTGTGTGTGATATGAATTGTGGTTATTTCTAATGAAACAATATTATTCCTAGGGGCTGTAGGCCAACAGTCTCTTTTTTCAGCTAATTATGTGTCTTTTTCAAGGGCACTACCCAGTAACTGTCTACTTAAAAGATGTTGCATCGACATATTGCTTACTATTTATTTTGTGAGTCAATTGCATGTATGCGGATCAAGGCTACACACAGGGGAAAATTTGGTAAAGATTCCTTTTCAAAATATCTATGCTATTTTTTAAACAACCTATTTGAATACAAGTAATTTCTCTTGAGAATCAAACTGTTTCCAATATGATATGTCGCATTATGACTCACATCATTAAGTTGAAAAGATAAATGCAGATAAAAATTGGGGCAACATACAATGGTTGCTTAATCCTTTAAGCCCTGACCTCTTGAGGCTACCGTGCCCCTCCCCTTGAGCTCCTGAGCTCCCGAGCTCCTGAACCATATATTACTAACATTCATATATGATAGTCATAATCACATTCCATATTCCAGTCAGGGTAGTCCTTGCCATTCATCATCATCCAGTTCATTGCCGACTGGCGTGGGCGATCATGGACCTCCATTTCACACTGTCTTGCGTTGCAGCGAAGGTGTCTTTCGTTATTGCTGTTCCCAACCTTATTGTTAGCTTGTCAAGTATCCTTTCCCTCTATCTGCCTCTTCCTCTCTTTCCATCAAACTTGGCTGTTGTTACAATGTTCTCCAATGCTTCTTTCCGCCTTGTGTGTCCAATGAAATTAGCCTGTTGCTTTCCTATATTCGCCATAAGCTGCCATCCGTAATTTGCTTCAACCAAGACTTCTTGATTTGTTTTCCTAGCTGTCCATGGGATACGCAGTATGCGTCTTATGAACCACAACTCTGTCGGCTCAATTGTTCTTTCCTGTTGTTTATTGGTTGTCCACACTTCGCACCCACATAATAGGATTGGCTCGATGTATTTTTTCAGCACCCTTTTTCTTGTTTCCAGTGACAGATTGATGTTTGTAAATATCTGTTTCATTTTGTGGAAAGTTGCTTTTGCTTCGCAAATGCGACTTTTAATTTCTGTGTGTCATCTCCCATCTGATGATATAATGGTCCCCAAATATTTAACCCTAACCGTACGCCCTGGGGTCATTTTGTACCCCTGGGGTTGTATTCTTCAAATTTTAGAATACTTGTAGTGCGAAGATCTCTTGGAAACTTTCAGTATTTCTCAAAAAATCATTTTCACAGACTGCTATGCAAAGCGTACGGATCAGATTAACTAGTAAATTTCCGCTTTGGAAAGTGGTGCCACAGAGTTCCCCACGTCGTATGGTTACAATAGTAAAACATGACGTACGGATGGATTAAAATGTTGTACTAGCTTGAGGGTGGTGCCATTGATTTTGATATTGCAGGTTGGGGTTGGAGTTTTTCTGCTTATCACCATTGTTTCAGTTTTCTTGATGTTTAGGCTTAGGCCCGTGTTGTCACTCTCTTGTACGATGACATTTAATAGATCCTTGTCATTACCAGCATCTAATTCAGAAAGATGTTCAAAATAATTAATAACGTCTTGTGTTATAAACACTGGTTTCCCTTCGCTCACCATTGTACGGATGGCTAGGCAAACAGGCAGTTTTACACACCGCCGCCAGATTATACCGCTCCTGGAAAATGGGAAACCACCTGGAGAAGCGAAAAGCTACTGACCTATCTCATTAACATCATGTATCAGTAAGTTTGCGGAAAGAATGATAAACAGCCGCCTACTGGTACCTGGAAAACACTAACAGCTTGAACCCACACCAAGCAGGCTTCAGAAAAGGCAGCAAGACAGAAGATCAACTTTTTAAACTAGGTCAAAACGTCCAGGATGGTTTTCAGGAGACTAAACACACTGTCGCCATCTTTGTAGATCTCCAACAGGCGTACGACAGAGTGTGGAGAAAAGGCCTACTCATGAAAATGATGAACCTTGGGATACATGGCAAACTATATAAATGGATCAAGTTCTTCCTGTCAGATCGAAACATTGAAACCAAGATAAACAATGCCCACACGTCAAGAGAAGTACTCGAGGAAGGTTCCTGTCTCAGTTGCACTTTGTTCCTGATCTTCTTCAATGATGTAATGATCGTGCTGAAGTCTGAAAAGCAGTTGCGAGCGCCATAAAACCCTATACTACTAACTAACTAGAAGTCTGAAAAGACTCTTTACGCTGATGACTTTGTTCTCTGCAGACACATCACAGCACGGTTGTAGGAGCAGGGAACTTAAATGAAGACATCAAGAGACTCCACAATTACTGTCAGAAATGGAATCTTAAAATAAACTACATGAAAACAGTATACACCAACTTTACAAAGAGCCATAAATCAGTCAAAGAAAATCTCCAACTAAAGATGGGAAATGAAAATCTCCCCAAAGAAGAACAACCAATATACCTAGGAGTCAAACTTGATTAAAGTCTAACCATGAAAAGCCAAGTGGAGAACATAAAGAACAAGGGGGAAAAAAAAGACTCCAACTTTTAAAGAAGCTCGCAAGCAGTTCATGTGGATCAGACAAACGAACTCTGAGAGCTCTGTACCTTGGTTGTTTCCGATCTTCCCTGGAATACAGCAGTAGCCTACTCACTATGTGCAGTACAACTACTTGCAACACCCTTGACAAAGTCCAAAATAATGCCCTTTGTTTCATAAATGGTAGCATGAGTTCCACTCCTACCGCTGCATGTGAAATCCTTTCAAATGTTGAACCCCTGAGAATCCGCAGAGATAAAGCAGTTTTGGAGCTACATGAAAGAACCAAAAGAATGTGCTCCAACCACCCAAACAGGAAATTAGTAGAAACATGGAAACCAAAGAAACGAATTCAACAAAAGTCAATCATGCATCATGTCACAGAACTAATGGAGAGTCACCATCTACCACAAAACAGAAAAGAAACCAAAAGAGTCAACCAAATCATCCCTCCCCACATTTCTATGGAAAAACCAATCATTAAAACATCTCTCAGAGACAATAGCACAAAATCTTCAGATCTAGTGATGCTGATGCTTGCGTCTCATCAAACAATCAACAGCTATTCAGATGACCGGATACACATCTATACAGACCACTTAGCATTCAAAGGCACAACCAAAGCCGGATATGGAATACTAATTTAGTATTCCATATCCGACTTTGTTTGTGACTAATACAGTACCCAGATTGAAGTTCCAGTGAGATCTCTGCAGCCTGTGGAGAGAAATGCAGCAACTATGATGCAGAAATGATTGCAATTGAAACAGCACTATACCGTCTCTGCACAGTTTTTGACACTCATCCTGGAATAGCACAGAGTATTGTGATTTTCACTGACTCATTATCAGTCTTGCAAGCGATAGAAAATGACCATCATCTAAACCAAGGTTTGACTCATATACTGTTTGGCTCCCATCATCTGATAACATTCCTTGGCATCAACCTGGTAATGCAGTGGACACTCAAACATACCTAGAAAAAACAGAGCAGATACACTCACCAAACGAGGATCTAGACAGGAATAACCCAATATTTTAACTTCATACAACATTGAAAAACAAATCGTTAAAAGCAACATCAAACAAGATTAGATGAACAGATGAGCCCTGGGAAAGACTGGCAGAGAATATGACCACAACAAAAAGGAATGACAATATCAAACACCTACAGAGAAAGAAACAGACCGCGATTTTTCACCTACGAACAGAACATATACAACTGAACTTCCACCTGAACAGAATAAACCCAGAACTTCCTCCAATGTGTCCCTTGTGTGACTATGCATATGAGACTTTGGATCATCACCTGTTCCACTGCACAGCTCTAAATGACACCAGAGCTACCCTTCTCCCTCCGAGACCTAACATTGACAACACACTCTATGGAACATAACAGCAACTGCAACAAACCTGCACTTATCACTACATGGCATTGGACAGAAGGGCGAGAGTCCAGATGGTGCAGGATCGATAACAACAACAACAACAACACGCCACCGGTGTACCGGTGACGAGGGATCAAAGGGTTAAACCTTGGCGGTATTCCTATTTCATTATCAAAGTTTGATCAAGCAGAGTTAATTGTAAGCTGAATGGAAATGTGTCGAACTTAATATTTATCAATAATAAAACAAGTGAGACTCTTATGTTGGTTTTGATTTGATGATGGATTTGTTCACACATTTAATTTTACCCGTTTCATATATTTGACATTCTCACATGAATTTATTTATGTCATTTTATATTTATGACAGACGGCTGCTATTCAAGGGTCACAAATTGCCTTGGAACATATGAGAAAAGACAAAGGAGGTCGTGGCGGGAGGATTATAAATGTTGCATCCACTGCTGGTCAGTTTTGTTATAATAATGATGCTTTTTCCACTGTTCTTATCATCTTTAAAGCTGATGTTCTTACTGACTGATATTTAACAAAATGAATGGCAGTTTAATGAGTCAAATGCTCCACTGCTGTCCAAGGCAAAATGAACACTCATCTTCTAAAATAGCTAAAAACACATTTTAAAAAATACTTTAAAGATTTTTAAAGATTGATTCGCGGACAGATAAGTAATTTAAGAGCTAAAAAAATAAGAAAACAAAATTACTTTTAGATGCAGCAAGTGTTTTTGGCAATTACTGCTGTTCAGCCACATGTATCTCTATATAAACATAGTCTAGCACGCACATAGAGAAACAAGCACACATGAAACAGATTTTTAGGTCCCACATTTTTTCTGACATTCAATTTCATGTGTCATAACGCAGTGGAATCAAGCGCTAGTCAATTTTTGAGCATATGGAATTATTGTTATGTCTTTAACTGTAATGCTCTTTCATTTGTCTTGCTTTCACTGAAAAAAATACTCGTCTATCTAGAAGTCGAGATATTTGCCATCAAACGAGGGAAGGTGGGGGGGGGTGTGCCTGGTTTAAGAGATAAAATAAGGGGGGTTACAATAAGTTACATTATCAAATTGTCAAATCTTACTTGACAATAATGACAATTCCTTGAGATACTTTTTTTACTCCCTGGTCTTTCTATGCAGCATTGTTGAATGTTATTTCCTGTTGTAACCTATCCCAGTACCCAGTGCAAACTACCAGTACGATCCAGTAGAATTGAGTTGAGTCCGTCCATATTTTCCTCCATGGAAAAGCAAAAGCTACCATGTTGGCATAAAGCTGCCAATACTACTCACAACATTGAAAAACAAATGCATTTGATTTGTAAGAGATAATGGTAGCCTTTTTCAGTCCATGGAGAATATATTAATGTGCACAGCCTCAACTCAATCAAATTACTTCAATTGGCGGTGTGCATTTGGCTTAGGTTGCTTCTTTGCTTTTAGTTGAACTGAACACCTATCCAAGCATGGTTTACTATCTTGTCAGATCTTTCTGTGCCATGCTTAGACTAGACTAGACACACTCTTTCTAAAACATTGAAAACAACCCTGCTTTTTTCAATGTTTATAAGAAATTAACAAAAGTCATACTTTAACAATAAATTAATGCATTGCAGCAGTTGAGCATTTGAAGGAGTCATCAAAGTATTCTGCTGTACCTGCTCTTACCTGATGAGTTTCAGTAGCCTTTCAATTCTCCCACTCTACTTTATGCAGCTTTTTGTGATAGTAAACTTCCTTGTCTTGTTGTCCATTTCTTGGTGACGTTGACCATTTATCTTTCATTCATCTCTTACAATCCAAGGTCTCATAGGAGTCTATTTCTCCCCTCGGTACTGCGCCTCCAAGTTTGGCTTAGTTGGTTACCATCACAGTATGGCAGTAAGTATGGCTTTGCTCTTTAACCTCAATGTTTTGTCCATGGTATAGCCTGGCCCTGTGGAAAATTGCATGTTTTAAATGTAAAAATTGCAAGGCAAACTGCCTAAAAATTGCAAAAAATTGCAGCCTTCCCATCCCAGGCACATTAATACGGGCTTAACATTTTTAGTTTAAAAAACATGACAATTTTGAGTACCAGTAGCATAAAAGCAGCACAGCCTTTAAAAAATCATGACCCACAATACAAATTCATCAAATGTTATTAACAACATTTACTAGTAACAACACACGAGTACGTTAACAAGGAAGTTATCGACCAAATATAATATGATAACGCGCGACTCAAAATAACGGAACCCTCGGTTTTCGTAGTAACTTTTAAATGAAGGCATAAAATTTGACCAAATTTAGTACATACCGGGCACTTGGTTCATGCAAAAATCTAGAAGTGTATGAGGTTTAGTCTATAAAAAACAAAAGAATTGACGAGGGATTTTCGAAACAACCTTTAAATACAAAATAAGCTTATGCTCCAATCAAATCAGATACTGTTCTATATTTCTCTTGAAACCTTCGATACACCGGTAATCTGTATTTGTTTCAGATATTTTCTGTTTTAAAACCGGCATGGTAATATTTTACCACTAGTTCAAATCGTAAAATATGTCAAAAAATGTTTTTTCCATTTATAAACAATAGTAACTCATGTACTAATGTAGATCTAGATCATTTCTATAGCACCTACTCCCATGTGAACGCAGCTTAAGGCGTTTTACATAACGGGGTGTTTACGTACACAGTACGTGGACACCAAGCCTAAGTACACGGTAACTGGCAACCGGGCACGTAGCCTCAGTGTTACATACACGGTAACCGGGCAGTTAAGAATTCCAAGTTCGGTTTTTGTCATCTTGTGTTGCCTTCAACTCCAGCCCTCCCCCGACTGTACCTTTTTTTTTTTTAATCAATAATTCCCCCATTCCGGAGCTCTATACTTCGTAGCGCACAGACTTTGAATTAACTTTGGTGACCCAACCGGTACACAAGTGAGGCCGCAAAGACCGCGATTTCCCGGGGGGCCAGTATAGCAGTTAGCACTGTCGCACACAGGAGACCCGAGTTCAATTCTCTAGTGGGGAGAAATTCTTAATTAATGAGTACTTTGGTCTTTCTGCTGAGATGTTGATTCCCTCTCAGCCTGGGTTGGCCCTGACAAGTGATCTAAATTGTGGCAATGGGGGCATAAGAACACCTAAATTGTTTTTAAGATAATAAAAGGTTGTCAACTTGGATGGTGTCATGGTAGGCTGCAGTGAGTGTTCTGGGTTTGTGGTATTCTTGAATTTCAGATGTATGAGGACGTTTCATTATTTTACTTTCATTAGTTTTGTCCTATTTATCAGAGATCAGCTTTAAAACTGGAGTTTCTGCCTCTTGAATGACATTTTTGTCTGTTTTGAAAAGGTCGTTTTAAACTGTGCCATGCCCCTCTAGTAAATTTGGCTGTTGAAATCTGTCCGCAGTGTCAGGAGCCAATATATAGTCTGTGCAACATGGCGGGTGTTGAGAGATTTGCATGGCCAATCTTAGTATTCTTAGACAGGCTCTTTGGGATGTTATTTTTTAAAAATCAAAATAAAATATTGTGGTCATGGCTGCATTTGGCTGGTTATCATTTTACGCAGTGCCGTTATAAAGAAAAAACACAAAGAGGAGATTTGAAAGTAGCCATTTGCGGTAGCCGTTTTATTCAGGTGTACACCTTAGAGGGTGCGGTGGCGGAGCTGTTAGTGTGCTTGTCTCCGAAGCGGAAAGTCCAGTATCTGACTTAGTGTTGGGGAAGTAAAGGCGGCGTGGAAAGGAACTGACCACCCTACCACAATGTGCTGGAGGTCCAGGAAGTTGTTTCACTAACAAGACAATCCCCAATGTCCGGATCGAATGCGTGAACAACTTTACATCTTAGCAGGTTCCACTGTAGGCTGTCTTCCCTCGTTTCCTTTTTAATAATTCTGTCGGAATCGGAAGCTTACAAATGTTCTGGTAGATCTCCCACTGTGTTTAAGTCTTAGTGTTGTTGTTTAATTTTTTAATTTAAAAAAAATGTCAATTCCATTGTGGGTACTCCTGTGTGATTTGCTCCTTCTTTTTTGTCAAACATCTATCATCCTTATCTCTCCTCCTTCATTTACGTGTTTGTTACCCTCTTGTAACACCTCCAATCTTCGGCACTTTTATGACCTAACTGTGTTGCAAGTGCAGTATAACTCTTGCTAAATCTACACTGAATAATTCCATTGATATGTTCACTTTATTCGATCCCTTTTCAATAATTGCAGAGCAATCCACATGCAAAAGAGATGGGACTTCAGTTTGGATGTCTTTGTCCAGCCTTCACTGACACTGCCATCATAAACTTTGATGAAACGAAAATGGATTACTATGATGAGGGTCTCAAGTTCCTTGAAGCTATTGGTATAAACACGTAAGTATCTTCTTGCTATTCAAGACTATCTATTTCTTACATTTCGAACTCTCGAAAAAACCCATGACATTTTTAGAGAGAAAATAGCTTTGTTTCCAGCATAGAAAATGTGTTTTCTCTCCATCATATGAGGGTGGACAGGCATGGGCAAGACAGAAGACCGGTCTTGAAAAAATGAAATGCAAGTAGGCCTTCCACATAATTGTATACTGTCACAACGTTCACCACCTCCCAATCACAGAAGGGAAACAACCATCTACTTCTGCCTACGCACTGGACATCCGTGTTTCCTGCTGAATTTACACACAATAGAATTCAACCACAGATTTCCCCTTTATTCTTTTTTTGTGATCTCGCAGATGAGACAGTGGACCACTGGTTTTTACACTAGATTGAATCAACCTTTTTTCTGCCAGGATAAAACTCTTAGATCACACTTCATAGAATGACAAAGCAGATAAAGAAAGGAAATGCATTTTGGGATACATCTAGCCTTAATAACTTAACCCACCCCCTCTCCCCTGCACATGTCACTTCTTGGCATGGAACAGAAGTGTGAAAAAACATGCAATGTAGCAATAACAAACTTGAAAAAAATTTGGAGTGGGGGGAGGGTTTTTTTTAAGTTGGAAAAATCTATTTTACTTACAGTGCTTTCTACATACATGATAGTACTCTCATTTTTCAGGAGTTTTTTTCTTCAAATGAGGATTCAAATTGACAATCTTTATAGAATGGTACACACGTACCATTACTTCAAATGAAATTGCAAATTTCCTTTCTTGCTGGAGTCCAGAAGTGCAGCAATAGTATTGTCTTACTGAAACCATTAAAATATTAGAATGGGAATGTTTTTACTTTTTGGAAGATTTAACCTTTGGATGTCTTGAGCAGAATAGACAGGGTAAATTGATTGTCTGAACCATAACCCCCAAAAAACCCCACTACTCTAAGCGTTGCAACATGTATTAAAAGGGGAAGGGGGAAAGGGGGTCTGAACCATAACCCCAAAAAACCCCACTACTCTAAGCGTTGCAACATGTATTAAAAGGGGAAGGGGGAAAGGGGGTCTGAACCATAACCCCAAAAAACCCCACTACTCTAAGCGTTGCAACATGTATTAAAAGGGGAAGGGGGAAAGGGGGTCTAAACCATAACCCCCAAAAAACCCACTACTCTTAGTGTTGCAACATGTATTAAAAGGGGAAGGGGGAAAGGGGGTCTAAACCATAACCCCCAAAAAACCCACTACTCTTAGTGTTGCAACATGTATTAAATGGGGAAGGGGGAAAGGGGACAATCTTTCTTTGTTACCATTGTCAACAATTACTCATTATACAGGTCCAAGGGAATTAGGCTACTATTATTGTAGAAAGAGGGGAAGCAGTATCACCACAGTGGAACTCGGATTTAACTAGCTCGGATTCAACGAGAACTCGGATTCAACGAGATGAGATGGATTCCCCGTTTTTTTCCTTCTTAAAAATCAATAAAAAGTAACCTGGATTCAACGAGCACTTAAATCAGCGAGCTCGGATTCAACGAGGTCGCTTTCAGGGTGAACAGCCCCCGCAGACGTGGCTTCGCTAATTTTTCTCCCAGAACAAACTTTATCTATTCCCAGAAACCATCCATTGCACCTGCATCATGAACCATTATTCACTTAGCCGATTGCATGCGACCAATCAGCGGCCTTTTTAAATACCAACACGTGTGTTGTTGGCATGCGTACATGTCTACTCTGGCGTGTGTCAGGGTCGGATGGGTGACCTGCGCACGTGTGGCTGTGTGTGCGTGTCGGAGAGGGGGGGGAGGCACTAGCGGTCCGGGCGTTGAACGTTGCATATATACAAACGCGTCAGTCTTTTTTTCCCTCGGCAACTGATTATTATTACAATAATAAGCTAGTCTTGACGTAGATCTGCGTAATGAATTGTGCGCTGGTCTATGGAATCAAAAGTTGCCGTATGCTCGGCTCTACACAGCAACACAACTTTTTCTTGGTAAACAATCGAGATGACACAGGCTTGTGTATTTGAACAAATCGGTCTTTTTTTTACACAGCTCATAATATGCAGGCATTTCAGGCACTACTTGTGACTTCTCTTTATACATTACTTGCTCAGTGCATGTAATTATCTGCACAAAACCGTGTTTCCTATTACGAACACTCGGATTCAACGAGATTTTAGGTCAGGCCCAACGACCTCGTTGAATCCGAGTTCCACTGTATCACATGAAAATCAGCATGGAAATTGAGAAATGGTTTGTTTCCCTAAGCAGGCTGTGCTACAAAATTTGTCATAACTTAGAGAAAGACTATGGGTATAGACACTTGGAAATCCTTAATGTTTTAGTTTATCACAGACAGATGAATATTTGAATAACTTTGCTAAAAATATGTTATTAATCAAGAGTGAGTATCTTTTCTAAAAACAACAGTTCCATTGAAAAGAGTGAGGAAAATATTTTAATTCTTTCATTCATTGTATTATAATCAGACCTGCCACTCTATGAAATCTAAAAATCGGGATTTGGTGAAAAAAATTGGGATCAATGGCAAATCACCAAGGTGTCTGCCAACTGACTTATAAATTTTCCTGGGGTGTCCATAATTACATCCGTGTAAACACCTATAATATGCCCTCTGTGTTTGTGTGTGTGTTATTATTTTTTTTAATCCTGAAGTATAAAGTCAAGCACTCCTGGTCCAAGTGCCTAACAACATCTCCCCCCACCCCGATAAGTCCCGAAAGACGCTTCCACCAGCGTGCATGAACTTTAGTTGACCCCGTCACCGCTCGTCATCCCAGACACACGCGAAACTCACACACCGAAGTCATGTCACATAATGCGAACACGTGATTAAAACAGTTTTACAGACTGGTCTTCATTATGGGCACGACTAACCAGAACTCGGACAAAGCTTGTTTTGAAAGTAACAGCAGAACTCCAAGTAATATTGATCATTTGTCGAGAGTAGATCTTGAGAACGTCCCAAATTGGAACACCAAATCGATACTACTTCCATTAGGCCTATAGTTGAAATAACATGTGTTGGCAAAGATCCAACACAACTTGGAGTGAGTCAACAACTAAATCCAGCTTCAATATTTTGCAAAGCAGTTCTCAGAGTTCCCTTGGCAGAGATGAAGGCAGAGTAAATTTTTAGAGAAATCCGGCACTACAGAAGGAAAAAAAAAAAACCGGGATACACGCAATCAAAATCGGGAAAATCGGGAAGCTTGAGATTTGGGGCAAAAAATCGGGATATCCCAATTAAATTGTGATGAATGGCAGGTCTGTGTAATACGCATGTGTATTATGATGTACATATTTTCTTTTTTCAGAGTTGATGCTGTGGTTGATGGTTTCATGCACTTTGTGGATAATGATGACATCAATGGTGATATTGTCACTGTAACAGCTCAGCGTGGTTTTCAAGTGAAGAATAAGCATAAACGGAAAGCTCATCTGTAACAGACGGGTGCCCTTGCTTGTTTTCCTGTTGCATCAGTTGTTTACCTCATGCTCACCGAAGAGATCAGTTGTTTCTTTTTGTTGCTTGTGTTTTACTATCACATGTGTGACTGTGAGGATGCATTTTTGGATAAATTGTCTGGAGAAGATAGCTACAGCTATATATATGAGAAAATGAGTTAGAAACCTGTCCCACTTTGTTATCACCCCGATGTAACCTAAGATTTTTAAAGTAAAGCGTTTTTTTTCACCCATATAGCCATTCACTGGGTTTTTTCACAGTCATGTAACTGTTTTTACTTTGCTACAATATATCCCCTACAACATGTGTTGCCATCCAAGCTTTCACTTTCAGTGCAAAGATGAACGAGCAATAAATATCATTTTTGAAGACAAAACCAACTTGCAACAGGCCTATAGCCTATAGGTTTTGCTTTTGCCCACTTGATATTCTAATGATACAAATGTCAGGGAAGGAGGAAGGAACCAGTCTTTTTATTCTTTATGAAGCTTGAGGCTCTGTTACACAGGGCACAGTTAGATCATTGGCTCAAAATCCAGCTTATTTCAAATGCAGAAGCAATATATTTTTATATATGTATATATATTATATGTATATATGCGCAGCATATTTAGTAGATTGATAGATGATGTAAGTAAGCAATGTAGGCTACTGTACAGTGCCTCAAAAATAGGTTGCTTTTGTAAGACATATACATCACTTGTAGTTATAGCAGCAGTGCTTACTTTTTTCTTTTCTACATTGCTTTTTTTTTTTTTAAACATTATACTTATATTATATACTTTATAATTCACAACCTGTGATTTTTTTTTGATTTTTTGGTGATACATATATATATAGAGAAAGAAATCTATACTGGTATTCAGTGCCATCTTTTTGTACCACGGGCAAATAAAACAATATATTTCTTAAAATTTGTAAGATGTTCATTTCTTTTTAATCTGAAGGCAATATTTTATAAGTCTGTACGTTCCTTTTATGATAGTTTCAGTTTAAGTCTAAGTTGTCCCATATCAATATCACTGCTCCATGTAACAGGACCACTGTTGATGCTGAATGTCCTTACTTTGGCCTACAGTTTTGAGTTCAGGCCTACCTCAACTTCAGGTAATTGAGCTCCAGAATTGATATATTCTTCAGCAGGATATGCTCTTGCTTTTGCTATTCTTACTTGCCAGTTTACTTTTTTTAACACATTACACCCTAAGGGTCTGGATGGGAAGTCCATTGTTAGATCCTAAGCAATGGGAAGGAACCCACCTCCCGTGAATACAAGACAAGCCTTTAAAAAACACATTTTAAAATTACTAAACAAATTCCAAAAATCTTGAAAAAATAAAAGTTAAAACGAAAAATGAATGTAGTTTCTGAAAAATATAACTTAGTGTATGCGCAAACTGTTGGAAATGTCTAACTTTGGTTCAATCGGCTTGTCCGACCCGTGACTCTCACTCTCAGCCTCGCGGTCGGGCCCTTAATTCTACATTTTCTACGTCTGATCACTCTGAATCGCCCCAAACTCTTGCTACAACGTTTTAATCAAAATCTGAGTCATCTGATTTGTCATAGTCATATGCTTGTTTTTGCTCAAATCCATCATTATTTCCTTTTTCGAAATCAATTGTGTCGCTTTTCAACAAGTCGAGACACCTTGGAAGTGTCGATAATGCAATCGCACTTCGTTAGGCTTTAATACTAAAACTACTGGCTCTAAAAATTTCGTTTCGGTATCAAACGAAAGAAGAAACTTTTTGCAATAACTATGCAAATCAAAATCTCGGCTTCAGAGTCTCGTCAAGCAAAGACTTCGTTTCTAAAGACGCTAAGTTGACGCGGGCGGGTCTGGGTGGACCGTGTGTAAGGGAATTTCCGGGCGGTCCCGGGCGAGTTAGGGTGTAATGTGTTAATACATTGTAACATGTAATTCTGAACCCAGTCTCTTGTATCTGTCTTCAACTTTCTCAAGCTTAATGAGTGTGATAACTTATTCCAGGAGCTCGTCACGTATCCAGAGAGTATTCATGTTACTCTTAACTCTTAGTATTTGTATACTGTCAAACTTCGTTAGTTATTATGTTTTAAGGAGTGCTTATTTAGGCCACGTATGGCCTATATACCGCGCAGGCCCCCAGGTAATCTTATTTGGGCCATAGCTCAAACTGCCCTTTTCTCACAACTGAGTTCGTCCCGCTTTCGCAACGCTGCACCTTTCTCATAATTTAGTACAGTTTTTTCTCTAGTGAATATCTTATAATATAATGAAAATAGTAAGAACAACGCACAATGTGGAAAATTTTGCTCAATCCCTGTGGTTTGTATGAGGGCAAGATTTTTGCCTTCGTGGAGGAGCAAAAGCTAGGCTACCATTTTGGCACACTTTGGTCAAGTGAAAGGTCAAATCCTCCGAATGGACTTTCGGGTCGAGTTTGGTGTATAAAAGAGTGTAGACAAAGTGCCCGAGAGGCCCTAGAGGGCCCTCTCTCCGACTGTCGTGTAGCAGGAAGTTTAGTGAACATGCACGCAGCAGGGTGAATCCGCCTCAATACGCCCCGTAGTCTTTTGTGATTGGCCGTGAAGCATCGTGTTCTGCTGGGTCCAAACAACTCACAGTTTTGTGAATCACACTGCCACATCCGACAGGCCTAGGCCTACATCTTTTTTTTTAAGGAAAAGAAAGATCTTCAAAATGGCGGTCTTCGCGTGAAAATCAATTTAGTAAAACTGGAAATATTTGTTTCTGAAAACAAGGTAAGTTTTAAAACATTGTATATAAATTGAAACTTTATGAAGTATTACTATTTTCCAGCATCTTTTGGCGCCCGAGTTGTATAGGTTGAAGTTTTCATAACGCTAATATGGCTTTCCATGAGAATGCATACAAAAGCCGAATGAACCGGTCAGAGACCGGGCGTCCCCGCTCTCCCCCCTGCTCACTGCGATAACGTGTTGCTTCGGCTTCACATTATTCAACTATTAATAAGTGCGGCAATGGCATTTGTGATGTACTGACTAACAAAAGAATTCACAGTTTTATTTTTATTTTATCATATATTTGGCTTTTGATTAGTGCAGATGTTAGCTAAATCTAGATTCCTTGTCTAGAATCAGTAGTAGTAGGCTAGAAGCAGCCAGCTAGAAAGCCCTACATCTGCTAGATCTAACTTATTGCTACGCCTCTGGGCTTTGGAACTGAAATAAAACTTGAATTGCACAGTTCTAGTGAATTTTAGATTCAGCATCTAACTACATGTCGTGTATATTTTCCAGAGTTAAATCTCATCTGTCATCATAACAATCACTTGAACTTTTACTTTTATTTTTATTATTATTAGATTTGATTTAGATCCAACTTTTTTGTCTAAATTCTGTGTAGCGCAAACTTACTAGTAGAGAACAGAGTTTAAATTATAAGTCTCTGCTCAGTCTTTCAGTACATGTAATACATAATAATTTTGTTATTTTCTGGATATTTTAAAAAACTCTTTTTACATGATTGTGCCATTTTCTTTGATAAGAATAGCATTAGCAGTGGACTTTTTAGACAGCGCGTCTCTGACTCCATATTTTTTTTTTTAATTATGCTAATCCATGAAAATCGCTAATTTATAATAATAGGTAGAGGATAGGTTTGTCCCTGTGGTTTTATGCACCCCGCATAATTTAGCAAAATTTGATCATTTTTGGTACAGTCCGTGCCGGCTTTAAGCACGCCGGCTTTTAAAGCACGTTTCGGACTCAAGCACGCTAAACGGCTGTTACCGAATTTTTGCTACATAAATTACACGCCTTTAAGCACGGTAACTTCGGCTTCAAGCACGCTTCATTTACAAGACAGTCAATATTTTCATGATGACCCATCGAAGTTCGAACACAGTCTACTCCGCAACAGTGAAGTGTGTCTAGAGAAACACAAAGAACGCAAGTGATGGACACACACACTCACACGGGCGTAGAGGAAGGCAGATGCACACAGCCGCGCGCGCAGACATAGGATCTAGCTTAGGCCTAGGGCAAAGCTACACACGACCAAAAAAAATACAAAGAGAGTCGGGGAGATGAGAAAGGGAGGCTGGCTGCGATTTCACCTTTGACCCTCGCTATCCATTAATCCTGATTGTGTATCACGTTCGAGGTGTGATGAAGTCGGTGGTATGAGTGGCACAGCGGGCAGAGGTACGCACAGGCAGTGTGTAGGCCTAGTGTGCTGTATCGTGACCCGCCGTCTAAATTAAGTTTTCATTTCCCATTCAACCACAAAACAAAAACAGACAAGCGAACAAAAACTACCATGGCGGGTGTCTAAATAACAGTGCACACTTTTGCGGGACCGCTATAGGCCTACTTACAAACAAAGGGAAATAGCACGGGAAATTTTCTACATGAAAATCTCTGGATTATGTCTGCTTCGCACTCAAGCACGCTTCGGCTTTAAGCACGCTTAAGCTTTCTCCCGACGACCGTGCTTAAAGCCGGCATGGACTGTATAATTTCTGATTATTTTCCATCATCATTCTTTGTTAAAATTAATAGAATTGCATAATTTCACATTTTTGGGCTCAGTTTGCATAATTTCAGAATTGTTCTTGCATAAAACGACGGGGACAGATAGGTGGACCCCGCGGTCTACCTAGCTAAATACTAGGTTTTGGGATATATATTATGTGGACCCTGGAGTCACCGTTGCGAAATAAGTAGGTTTAGTTTTAAGGATTGGTGGACCCCGGGATCACCGTAGTGAAATAAGTAGGTTAATTAATTAAGGATTGGTGGACCCGGGATCACCGTATTGAAATAAGTAGGTTTAACCCGGGTCACCTTGATTAAACCTTGTTTCACTACAGTGACCCTGGGGTCCACCAATCTTTAATTTACCCTACTTATTTCACTACGGTGACTCTGGGGTTCACATATCCGAAAACTTAGTTTTTCAGTCGTTATGAATAGTGAAGAAAAATGTGTGGGAAAAAAGATAACGAGGTAAATTTTATAATGTGTCAAAAAAATTGCAAGCGCAAGTGAAGATCATAAGATGATTTTGTTATTTTCTGGTCATCTTTCCACGGTTTATAAAATGTTTCAGTGGAGTTACTACTACTACTTACTATGAAGAACATTTTGCTTGACTTTATAAGCCTTTTTTTATGTACTTGAAAGCATAAAATATAGTTTCACACAAATGTATGGTCAATACTTTGAAAAAGAAGGATAAAGATAAAGGAGCTGACTTGACTTATAACTTCTGGTAATTGTTTTTGGGTTTTTTACTAAATCCGTTTTTTTACGTTGAGAAAAACGCTAAAAACAAGTTTTAAAATTCAAAGAATGCCTATAATATAAGGAAATTACTACCTAATTGGCTTGCTCTTTAATAATCATGAGCAGTTAAGAAAAACAAAGAGAATGATGTAGGACTTGTCTAAATATGACTGTTAGTAGTAAAAGATATTACCCATTTTGTCCGATTATCCCTGATGGTGATTTTTTAAATCGCCCAGTACTGTACTTCTATAAGTACAAAAAAAATTCTGAGACTTTGTAAGTAAAGAGGTGTTTTGTAGTTGTGTGCATTCTATGTAAAATTCTCAACAAAATAATGTACATTTGGACCCTACAACTCAGATTGACACTCACGCACATAATAACATTCACGTTCTTACACACACACTCACACATACAAACACACTATTTCATTTACTCTCTCTCTCTCTCGCCACAACCACTAGCACACGCACTCACACACACAAATACCCCCCCCCCCCCCCACCCGGCTTGCGCACGCGCGCACGCACACACAGCTCCTACCCTTTGTCCACTTTTCATTCAGAATCAACCCTCTATTTTAAAAAAATACCCCTCACTAAAAATAAAAGATCAGTAGTCTCGATCTTGCGAATCCTTGGTTAGTTCTTGAAATCTACTTAAAAAAACAAACTGCTGTATACTGTATACATGATCTAATGTTGAGATATGTTAGGACCAGCCTATCCAGCATAACCATGCCATTCGAATCTGTTATAATAATAATAATAATAATGATAATAATAATAATAATAAATGAATTTATAACGCGCCAGAATCCACAATAGTGCTCGGTGGCGCTTACAAAACACACACACACACAAAAGCTCTAAAGGTCAGTACTTCTACGACATGCATAAATTTCACCCAAAAAAACTGACAGATATTTCAGAGTATCTGTTATCTCAAATCCTCAAAATACAAAAACTTTCAGTGTTGCCAGGTGGCAGTGTTACTCTAGATTCGGTTAAAAATACATAGAGGCCTATATCATACTATATTATGATTTTCAAAAAATAAAAATTAAACAAACCACTTTCTTTTTTTCAAAAAAGGAAAAAAAAATTAATTTTAGAATGACGATTTAGGTAGAAGATTTATCTGGAATAACGTCGAACCGAGTCTGCCCACCATGTTTTTTCTTAGCCTTACCCTAACTCTAGAAGATGTTAGGCTACACCCCGATGTCCATGTACCAATGGCACGGGTTTTTGACCTCAGATTCTTAGATACAGAAAAGGACCTAATGTTGATTCTACATTAATTTAATTACATACATGTCCTGCTGTGATGGAAGATGGATGTGAAAAGGGTTTTTTTTCTATATGTTGCCTAAATAAGGTCAGGTGGGGGGCTAGCTTATATAGGCCATATATTATGTGGCCTAAACAAGGTAAGGGAGGGGGAGTTAGCTCATTTAGGCCATATGTGACCATAATAAGGTCACCCTTGTAAAATTCTGGAATTCCGAGAGCCTGTGCTCAAATATGTCCTTCTTTGGACTCGACACATTTTAACGCGCCGTTCGTAATGTTCAGTGGTGGCCAAAAGGTTCCACCCAACCATGAGTACTCAAACTCAAAGCCACACACACTGTACACCTTACACAGCATGGACTTGTTTCTAGAGACGATAGGGGGTAGGGTGAGGTTGCCCAAATACACAGCATTTGTAACATATCCTGAAAGGTGAATATGGGCTTTGCCAAGGAACCAAATGTCATAGGGGATAAATGTTCACGCTTTTATTTTCAATACCAAGGAGGGATCATGAACACATTGCTATCCTCTGATCCATGTCAGCTTCACGAACAGGAAAATGGTAGCCTACATTGTACGAAACAGTCCCATGTCCAGTTAGTTATATGTGTTTGGGTTTTTTTGTCCCCTGTGCTCCTAGTTTAGTAGTCTGAATGACTGAACATGAAAGAGATAAATAAAACTATTGAAGTTTAGGATGGAATGTCCTCATAAAGTGAGTTTGCCTAATGAAAGTTCAACTTACTTTCTTTGTCTATATAATCCAATGAAAAAATGGGCCTCGTCCAGAATAGGGGCGCCTTTAAAAAATATGATGTAATTCACCTCTATTGCCTCTATTCAGTGGAATCCTGTTATAACGAGAGGGAGGGGAAATATTCGTTTTATACATAATAATAGTAATAGATAGCATTTGTATAGCGCATATCCCCGCTCAACAGCAGGCTCTATGCGCTTTACACTATATTATAGTGTATACATGTAGACTTACATGTACCAGGATTCTCGTTTATAATACAGTGGAGTCCACTATAACGAGTACTGAAGCAACGAGAAGTCTGTTATAAAGACACTATTCTAACACCCCGTTTTTTTTCCCTTCTTTATCTTTGTTAATAAAATACTGCTATTGCGCAATCAGAGTCACACAGGTCGGTCAAAACGGAATATTGCTGCTGCTGTGCACAGCGCACAGACCAATTAAACACATAAAACCTTGCATTGCCAGTTGAGAAAGTTGGTGATGCAGCGAAACAAAGAATGGGAGAACCCACGCGAACCAACAATGAAGGCCGGAGCGAATGAGTGGGGAGGGTGTGGCATGCGCAGACAAGCAGAACGCATCGCGTGGTGATAGGCCAGCCCAGTCTAGATTATCTAGGAATACTGTGCATCTCACTTCTCTGGAGAGGTCACAATGCTGTGATAGATGGAGTGAATGTGTGATGTGCGCACGCAAACAGACGCAACGCACCACAGGGTGGTGGGGTGGGGGACAACACAGCGGGCGAGTTAGCCTAGAGCCAGAGCCCCTTCTTTCGGATCGCAAACGCCGAGCTGTCACATTTCTAGTACTAGAGAAAGAAACCTGATTCGATTTTTCATCAAGAACAAGAGTTCATGTTGAACAAAATACAGTGGAATCCAAATATAACAGGCCCGGTAATAACAGGGATCCGGTAATAACAGGGATTTTTAAAATCCCCGTTTTTTTTCTACTCTTTGTCTCTATTAAAAGTTATCGGCAATAACGGCCTCATCGGAGCCCAACCGGTTATAGCAGGGACAAAGGCTTGTTAACAATGTGTAAAAAGAGAGAGAGAGAGAGAGAGAGAGAGAGAGAGAGAGAGAGAGAGAGAGAGAGAGAGAGAGAGAGAGAGAGAGAGAGAGAGAGAGAGAGAGAGAGAGAGAGACTCAGTGATGAAGCAAGCCCATGCAAGCCATGCCACTGCGAGCTCACACAGCGTGTGAAGCGAGAGAGGGCTGCGGTGTGCAGCAGACCTCGATCAAGCCCGAAACCTAGCAACACTATGTCACCACCGATGTCAAGCGCAAGAGAAAATGCCTTTCTTCAATTGGCAAAAAATACGAAATACTCCAGGCTGTTGACAAAAAGCAAGCTCCACTGGCACTGGCAGAGATTCGTCGTCAGTTCGACATTCCACAAGGGTCGATTCACACCATTATCAAGGATAGAGAGAAGATAGAGGCAGCACACTCCAAAGGAAAGTTTGCTCTGGATCGAAAGAAGATGAGACTACCCGATGCAGATGCTGTGGACCAAGCTCTTCTGATGTGGTTTAAGGAGGCAAGGAGAAAGTTGATGCCAAAACCCCTGTTCGTGGGTACTTGTGGCAAGGGCAACTACCCATGAATAAGTACTGCTGGATTAATCCACAAATGCTTACTTTCCTTGCATTTCTGGTTTAACAGGGATCGGATATAACAGGACATTTTCTCTACTCCCACCATCCCTGTTATATCAGGTTTCCACTGTAGGGGGATTCATCTCATCTCGTTGAATCAGAGTTCCAGTTCCAGTGTATTGCTTAGCTTCTGATCTAGCAGACATTTTCAATTTGAATTGACCCCAAGTTGCTACTTACTCATTTTTCCCTTACGCATGGCAAGACAGAAAGATGAATCAAGACTGGCCAATTAGTCTCTACCACTACCAGTCTACTACTAGTCAAGATGGCAGTCGCTGCTCTCCCGTTATATCACCAGCCCCCCTGTACCACCAACTTCATGCTTGTCCCAAGGACGGCTGTACAGTGGAGTCCACTTATAAGTTATAACGAATCCTGAAACACCGAGAAGTCTGTTATAAAGACACTATTCTAAAACCCCGTTTTTTCCTTCTTTATCTTTGTAAATAAAATACTGCTTTAGCGCAATCTGACAAACACGGGAGTCGGTTATAGCAGAATATTGCTGCTGCTATGCACAGCGCACAGGCCAGTTATAGTTATACACATATAAACCTGGCCAGTTGAGAAACTTGGTGATCTAGCGAAACCTAGGACCTTACATCAACTCCTTGAGCGAAACAAAGAATGCTTAGTTCTAGCAGTTTTAGCATTGAATTACTGTAAAACCCTCTGGCTTTAGGCAGTCAATCACATGCCGCCTTGCGATCATGCGCCTCTTGCATGCTGGCAACTCGCGTGTTGGGTCACTGATCTAGTTTCCAGCTCTAGTGTTTTATCAAAGAATGGGTGGTAATTTTAAATTGGTACGTAAAGTGGAGGCCCACTACACACAAAGATCTGAAATTTTACAGCAATACAGCAGACATGGGGGGGCACTTGTCGGTGGCTTATATCTCAAAATCGGTAGTTTGACCAAAAAGTCGGTAATATATCGATTTTTTCTGTAGGGTTGGCAGGTATGAATTTGGCCCCTTGGAAAAATTCAAACATTTTAATTCCACAATCCCAGGGTCAAGTTTTAACAACTGTTTTTCACCCATTCTAAAGTTAAGAGGTTCAATCCAGAAGTCTTTGAATTAAAAGACCGTAAGCCTTTAGCTCTTATACCAGAGCAAAGCTCCCCTCTTGTACAAGACTAGAAAAACATTAAAGATGTGAGGCATCATGGTGAGATAAGGCACTCCTCAAAGAAATGACATTGAAGGTACCAGCATTACTCCACCAGTGTGGCAATTTTTATTGATTTTTTTTTTTTAGCTGAACAGCTTTGGTGTCCATTTTAAACAACCCATCGACGAGTAGATTTGAATGAAAAACTAAAGGCACAAAAATATTAATTTTCATTTCTGCTGCCATTTTCTCACAAACATTACCATAAACTAGACAACCCCGCCTTCTTCAGTTGCAAATATTTCAACTTCTATTCAAGATGGATGGTAATCTTCTTTCACAAATGAACAAGCATTAAGTTTAAGACGATACCAATAACTTCATATGCCCAAAATTGATGAGCGCTTGATTCCACGTCGTGACACATATACCAAGCACCTAAAGTGCATGCCCTAAGAATCACAGCAAAAAGCCCCCCTTGCCTGATTACTATACATGTATTACATAAGGAAGCAATAAGCAACATGATTAAGAAAATTTACTTGAACAAATTTTATTTACAAGACAACTTCAAAATGACAATAACAGTTGTGAATATTTTGATGCAGGAAATGAAAATGACATATGGTCCACGTAAACAACATGAAGAGATACAGACTTAGGAATGGGCAGCAAATATTTTGATTTTACACCTCCCCTCCCTAAAGTGCAACTCTACAATTGAAAAAAAAACCACCTAAAAACGTTCAGTTCCACAACATTTGCAATTTGTATAAAGTTCTCCAAACAAATCCGTTAAGACTCCACAAGTCTTCGCAAAGCTTAGTATGCTTAGTGCAACACCCCCCCCCCCCCCCCAATGGATTCACCACAGAAGTATGGTTAAAAATTCTGCCTAACGTATACTTTAAAAGCCTAAGTTCTCTAATCCACTAAAGTAAAGATTCTCATGCCTTGTTTTCAAGAAAAAAAATCAGGGGCCAAAAAAAAGTATCAAATGATCCTATGTACATTATCATAGTGAGGACTATCCCCCCCAAAAGAAGACTTTCAGCGCTTGTATGGGTGGTAGCCTTGAGAGCCTCCTCCACCACCACCACCACCACCACCTGAGACTTTTCCAGCACCACTCTGCTGCCCATAGCCGCCACCACCGTATCCACCATCTTGGGAACCGCCGTAGCCACCGCCGCTGCCGCCACCACCACCACTGCTGCCTCCATAACCTGCAAAGGAAATAGAAATTTTAACAAACGTGTGGCAGTTGGTCAGTGTTCATGCATAAAAAACAAAACACTTGGGACAAAGAAATGCACCTCGTATCTAACTACAAATCATGTAATTAACTCATGAGGTTCCATCGTGGAGACAAGAAAGCCATAATTGGTCGCTTTTAAGGACAAGCGGGCTAGCCCAGATTTCAAAGGTTTCCAGAAATCTTGACCTACAGCAAAAGGGGGCATAACTCTACCTATAGGCGAAGTTTGATTTCATTTGGTGGGTATACAGTAGTCTCCGCCTAAGATCCCGTTCTCGGCATACGTCTCGTTCAAAACACGCCAAGTTGGTAGCTCTAGATGTTCGTCCAATGAAATTATAGAAGAAATTGACCCACTAAGAGATGAGGAGCTCGAAAGAATAGTCAGGAAACAAGACTTCTATTTTTCTATACAAAATCTTTCAAATGAGCTTGATTTTGTATGAAATAATACTACCTGATAAAAAATAAGCTTGTTTGATAGTTTTGAATACCATTGTGCAGGTACAAAGAACAATTTGAGTGCAAAACATTCGGAAATTGACCTATATTATCCCCTTTCGAACCTCAGGTCATTCATAACAAGAGCGTCTAGAAAGGTTATTCGAATGGGCGTACATCTGACAGAGACAATACTTCATTGAACAGCGAGTGGACGGAGAGACTCTTTCCATTTCATACTAACACCCCCCCCCCCCCCCCCTAAACCATTCTGCCCCACATTGTAGCTAGGCATTTACGCCGGAAATTTCACCCCCCCCCCCCCCCCCCCCCCCCAAATCCCTTGGGAATTCTTTAAACTTCGCCTTCGCAATAAATTAAAACGTACAGTGTGACTTTTTTTTGGATTGATTGAGTAGGTGTTTTACTGCACTATCGAATAAATACAGTGTGACCCCACACACGATGTGAAAGGTCGCACACACAACACATCATCAGCCTCTCACTCCCTGTGGCACTGCTAGTGGCTTGAAACATTAGGCCTATTTAAGAAACAATAGGGCTTAGACGATGGGCGTAAGCCTAGCGTCAAGCATCTTATCTGCTAGAGTTCGTCTGTTCGCCCGGCTGCTCAGCAACTAAAGTTGCGGAGCGGACCCAAGAAATGAACTGACTTGAAGTTCGCAATCCGCTAGGCTAGGCTAGAGTTCGACCGCTCGCAGAGAGAATAAAATTGTGGAGCGACCCAAGAAAATGAACTGTCTTGAGGTAGGCAGTCCGCTCGTACGGCTGGCTCGCTCCCAGTCAGCAAGTACCGAACCCATCTGTCTGTCCGCTCGCCCCAACTTTACAAATCAGCTTGTTGAGTCCAATATTTTACAGAGATCCAGCAGTGGCAAACCTTGGTCAGCAAAATCCATCCCTAATGTTCGAAACAATTTATATCAAATCCGTCAAGCTCGTGCCCAATTTCTTTTAGGTTTGAAATCAGAACGCAACATTTTAATCTACTACTGTCTTGCCCCGGAACTATGAGGAAACTTACTATGGCAGAGAATCATACTATAAACCATGCTTCCATCAGCTGAAGCTGAAAAGTAAGGAAAATTCTGCCGGGGTGCCCAAGCAGAGTCCAGGGACAGCGTCCTGGCGGGGGTTCACCGAAGAAATTGGAAATTTAGTATTTTTAGAGGGTTGAAAATGGCATTTGGGAGCTTGTTTGAAGAGATTGCCAACAACCCATTCTAAAATCACAAGTCAGTATACTTGATCAACGCGCAGATTTTCCAGGCGCTGCAACAATCAGAAGATAGACAGTCGGAATGAGTGAATGACAAAAGGGAGGAAAGTGGTACAAAAATTCGCCAGATTTTGATCAATCTGCAGGTAAAAAATGTACTGCCGATCAACTTAAAGGCTGATGGCAGGAAATGCTCAATCTGGCAGGTTTCTATACCATAACAAACTATTGCCGAGAGAATTACCGTAAATATCCGTAACTTATACTATACAAGACGACACGAAGGAGAGTACGGGTCTTTTGCTACGGAATTTCGCAGGTTTTTACGGAGAGAGTCCATAATGATGGAAGAACAAGTACGGATCTGGCAGAAAGTACGGATTTCCGTAAAAATACGGAAGAGTGGAAACACTGTATAAAGGTGTAAAAAATGCCCCTTCAAAAAAATGTCGAGCGGGGGCGAGTGACAACAAAAAGCCCACAACAATTTCAACTGTAACTTCAAACAAAAACTAGTTCTTATTGTCAAATTAAGAGCGGAAAAAGGGACATGAAGCCCAATCTCACCAGAATAGCTCCTCTGCGATCCTGCCAAGAAATTTATGGAGCTTACTAATTATTTTGTAGAAACAAGAAAATGATGGAACTTCAAGGATTTCTCAATCCCTAGAGAAAACAGAAACTCTCTAAACACAGAGAAATGTAAGCTATGATGATGCCGAGGGATAAAAATTGATGACATGGAAATTGATTGTTTCATTTGCCCCATTTCTCACAACCATGCAAACAAATTTCTCGATAGAAGTCAAAGGAAATGAATTATAACTGTCCATCATTTGCACTACATCTAATAACTTCATATCCTGTATTTATAATCCAAACCTGTTAATGGCTAATCCAAAAATTGTCAGAACTCATCGACAACCATGACATAAATACTAAATTGGTCCGAAAAGAACGATATTTGAATAATAATAAATATACTGTATAGTACATAGTATCGTGTAATAGGGAGAAGGCATTTCTACAAAATTAAAATGAACCCACTCACGAAAAGAGCTATACAATGGTAGGCCAATGTCGCAAAAGGCAAATCTATTGAGCAACCTTCTTAAGATCAAGAACAGATTCCAGATCAAAACCACATTAAAAACACACAAATTATCACAGCGCTAGATCTTAATCTCTTATCCAAATTCATAAAAGATCAAGAATTCATGAAGCCATCTGGTCGAAGCTGGGTCGAAGTGATTAGAATGATAAACAATAATGGCCGCCAAAAAAATGCATTGTATGGATTAGGCGTCTTTCGCATTCTTCACCACAACAATTTAATTCTTCTGCCTTACATTTAGGAAAACACAAAATATAGCCATCGGAAAAAAGAGTGAAGGGGAAAACAAGAGATTGCGACGGAAGCAAGCCAGACGGGCCAGCGGCCGATCAATAACATCTATTTTGAGACTGCTTTGGGGCTCAGCAGCGCGGCCTCTATGCTTCTACTTTTTATTCGTGTACGGTGCGCGGGCATGGCGAACTCGTGAAATGGGTCAGCTGTCCCTTTGGGGGGGGATTTTGCGATTGGCAGTTTTCCGACTATTGACGTATGATTTACAGGTCTAATATTCTAAAATTACCTTCAATAAATATAAAAAATTAAATCATCTTAGACTTTTAAAATCTAATTCCTAAGACAACCACACCAGAGCACCCACCCATCACACACTCAGAAATAGCGCACATGTGAATTTGTAAGTATGACAAAATGGAGGTAACAATGGAGTTGAAACGAGGACAAATACAACAAAACTTAGTTCGTTTTGCAATCTACTGTCATATGCAATTCTAATTCACAAGAGGTGTCACATCATTTTTAATAATCTTGACATATAGATGGGTAGCGAATGAATACCGATAGAACTGTAGACGGAGAAATAAGTCATTTGCCCACAGTGTCAGCACAAAATGGTTTGTTAGAACCAGTGTTCTTTTCTTAAGGGGATCCGCGGGTCTCGATCACCAAGAAAATCGGGTAGTTGCTAAAAAAAAATGGAACTTCGAGTATTTGGATATTCTTACAGAAAAATATGTCAAGAATCCGTATGTGAAGGTCCCAAAACCTAAAGATACCTCTAATATATATAAAAATGTATTTGAAAGCGGTAGGGGGGGGGACAAAAAAATTCAAACAAAACGTCAAGAAATGCTTAACTTTACCCCTTCACAACAACACTTTCCGTGGCTGCAAGGTAATCAAGTTTGGTATCGTTGGAAAGGCTGTGATAAGAACTATTCGATTATTGCACTTTCGTTTTCGTACGGAACTACTCTGGGGTACGTTTGAAGACCCCGTACCAAACACCGGTTGGCCACTTCCGTCAAGTGACCGGACCGTGAATTTTCATTCGCCGAGCCGGTAGCAACGAAGGGGATTCCCCTCACGGGCCATTGTTTACACTGCGTGCCGCAAGACAGAACGTGAACGTTTTCGCTGCATTTCAAAAAGTTTTCTATCGTGTTGCCGATTTCAACGCTAATAAATCTTGTTTACAGGCTGAATAATTATTGTTATTATCTCCATTTGCAATTCTTTGTAGTATTTCGGCCCGACAAGGCCTACCGAACACATGCTCCTTCTTATTTTTCGTCTTCTCTCGTCTGTCTATCTGATCGTGATTCGATTCGATGTCTTAGTCTTAGTTGTTTTGAGTGAGCTAACCCAGGATCTACACTGTTGAGATTATACGTATAATAATACATAATAGCCTTCAGTACTTTCCATGAGATTATGTGGCTGGGGTATTCAAAGTATAGATCTACAGATCTAGATCTACGTTGCGCTCGATCGGCAAAGTTATAGAATTAGAATCTAGATCTAGGTCTAGGATAAATTTGTTTTGATGGCTTCCCTAGCCTCTCCGGTTGTTCGCAGTGAACAAGTCTGTTTAGCGTAGATCTAGCAATAGAAATCTCTAATTAAAACAATTTTTTTACTTCATTATTACTGGGTTTTTAAAAATCGGAGACCAGTGTTCCCAAAGCAAGTTAACCCCTTCAACAAGATTGAAAGAAGCGACTGTGCAGAAATATATAGATAGGATAAAATAAATTGAGAAAATATACAGATCTAGATAGTATCATGTAGTGCCAGCTTACAGTGTGCCTTTCTTGGTTGCATAGTCTTAGATTCCACCATTGCAAAACCAAAACACATGGGAAGAAAATGAATGGGAGGTAGCAGCTTTTTTGGGGGGGCTCGACAAAGTCTCGACTCTTCATATTCTAAGAAAGGCAGTCACCTGCCAAATCATTTAAAGATTTCTTAATGTGGAAAAGACTAACAACAAACTCAATTTACCTAAACAATTCAGTATGGTAACATTAACATATAAATTTAGACTGGCATGTCAGCATGCAAAATCTTTATTCGCGTTTTTCTCAGAGTGATGACTTTTCTGCCAAATCTGCGGCACTATTTTGATTAGATCTCAGAAAGTTACAGTTGGTTGAAATTTTCACACAAGCCCTTGAATGTCCTATTACCGTACATAGATATTTTTGCTTCTTCTCCCATTTAAGAACAGAAACTGAAACTGAAAGACAAATGAGAATTTACATTCTTGGGGCGGAGATTCAATTGTGATTTGGGGGGGGGGCATGGAATTGATGTAAAAACTTGTCAAAAAAGCTTTTTAAATAGCCTGTGCTGTGTCAACATATGTTGCTGAATAATGTTTGATTTTAGTGAAAACCGAGATGTTTGTGATTGCACAATGTTTCAAAAACTTTGCGTTTTTCTCGAAATTGCATTTTCGGCTAACTGGTAACTTTATAGAAAGTGTATCTCAATAACTAACAGTCAGATTTCATTGAAATTTTCACACATTATTCCCAAGATAAGTGCCCTCCTCCTTACAAGAGCACTTTTCCTGAATATTGATTCTGTTTTGAGTTATTTGGCATTTTTGCGTTTCAGCATCGCCTAATGTGGATTTCTGAATATTGGTCAAAGTGAGGGTAAAATTTGGAAAACATATGATAGATATTTGAAATCTGAAGCAAGCAATATATAACATATATACCAAGTATGAAGCTTTTATCTTTATTAGGTCTTGTAGAAACACTGTTTATAAAATATAAAGAAATTTTGCTGAATCAGCGCCATTTTTGCCGCCACAAGAACAAAAAAATAAAAAATGAATTTTTTATTTCACAAAACCTTTTTTAAAGTGTATGTATCCATTGATGCATACAAAGTGGCTACAAAATAGTTGGAACTGAGTTTTGGCATTTTCATTAGCCACCTCCCCTTAACATACCCGTATTTTTCCAGGTCATTTTGTTAATAAAAAAAATATTTCATGACTTTTTGAAAACAAATGGTATTTTATAGAGATAGCTTTCTTTGTTCCAAGTCCAGAGCGTGTATCATGATGGCGCCCATTGAATAAAATAGTAACTATACTTCTTTCGTATTATTGTGAAAACTCATTCCTTAGTTCAATATAGCAAGATTGGAGTTGTCGCAAAAAGAATATTCGCAAACGCTATGACGGCGCATACGTTGCTATGACAGGAGTCAGTGAGTTAACAGACGAGTTGCAGCAGCCTATTAAAAACATTACCTTTTCAGTGCGAGGAAAACCCCAGAATAACAATAACGGTCAAATTAAATGGCCATAAACCTGTATATACCAAGTCCACATCATTCTATGTTAAAAAGAGCACTTTGGAAAAGATCCGTGTCAAATGCAAATAACGTACCAGGCCAACATGGCAGTTGTCCTTATATGACAACTTGACCTGTCGGAGACATATATGCGACAGACAAGTCTTAAAATAAAAAATTAAGATAACTTAAAATTAGCAGGCAACAGAATACATAACCACAAACCATTTTGCTGCCATCCTCCTTGTTGTCCATAGCCGCCTTGACCTCCCCAGTTCTGTCCATATCCTCCTTGCTGTCCTCCCCAGCTTTGCTGAAATACAAAGACCCAACAAATTTCAAAATAAAACAAGGATGTACATCAGAATTGAATCCAAATTCGAACAAAACGTGTGTAACGAGTTAAAGGGCATGAAAATGGGGCAAAACTACCAGTACTAGTTTGATCATTGCCTTTTCTTTTTCGGGCCCAGAAAGTCTTGACTCGGTTACCTCTCTGAATCTCTTGCCAGTGTGGACTGTAGTGACCTGCCACTCTATGAAGCCTCAAAATCAGGATCTCAGTGGGGGAAAAACCGGGATTTGGTGGAAAAAAATCGGGATCAACAGCAAAACACCAAGGTGACTGCCAAGCTGACTTAAAATTTTTTTGGGGTGTCCATAAATAAATAGGCCTAAATTACCTGTGTCTGTCTGTTTGCGTGTGTGTGTTTGTATGCGAACGTTATCATTATTTTTAATAAATCCTAAGCATCATGTCAAGCACTCTTAGTCCAGATGTGCAACAACACCCCCCACCCCCCAAACCAATAAGTCCAGAAAGGCACTTCAACGGACGGTCCCCGACACGCGGAAACCACATGGCGAAGTCATGTCACGTTATGCGAGCACGCAATTGAAACAATTTTATAGACGGGTCCAACTAACTGAGCGTTCACACAAAACACCCAGATGAGCGACAATCATTCTACTTCTAGGATAACGGCGGCGGCCGACAGACTAAATGTACCAACACATCTCTTATCCCCCATATACGTTCAGACCAAAGCAATGACAACGGCCGTATGTTAGTCTTGTCAGCGCAGTTACTTGTGTAAGGGTTAGAACAACTGTCGCTAGTCCGAGTGTTTGATGTGAACGAACAGTTACCAGACAAATTCATACTGACAAAAAGTTCAAAGGGTGCTACCCGCGATAAAGAAGAAGGCAGAGTATGTTTTTAGACAAATCTGGCACAACCGCAGACTGGGGAAAAAAATCGGGATACACGAGATCGAAATCGCGAAAATCAGGATGCTTGAGATTTGGGGCAAAAAATCGGGATGAGTTGCAGGTCTGTGTTCACTAGACCAGGGTCATTTTCACACTGAAAAAATTTTTCTCAGGACCATAAATATTAATTAACTCCTATCATCCGAAACACACCCCGTGTGGTTCCTGTTTACCCCCCTCGGCTAGAATGACACAGTGTGTCAATTTCATCTCCCCCAATTACAATATTTCCCACAGCTGAAGCTGAAAAGTAAAGAAAATTCCGCGCCGAGGGTCTGTTCGAAGAGATTGCCATCAAATGACAACACCTATTTCTTCACCAATATTTTTTTTTCGATTTCTCTAACTATAAATCTTTCCACTGCTGGCAATATTTAAAAACAGGTTCCTTTTGCCATTGCTGAATCACTATAATTTTTAATTCCATTAATTTGTCATCGCACCATTGACAGAAGGCAAACCTGGAAATAATGGATTGACATGTACCTTGACAATAGAGTACAGATTTACCTGGTGTATACTTCAATTTTCTTCCATTTTAATGTTTGAATGGCGAATGTCACAATCTTCTACCAACACTTCAAATCATTCTTGATTTTAGTAAGTTTTAGCATAAGTTTCTTTTATTGCCGCCTTTATCACGCTCCCATACAATAATCGCACTCACATTTCTCTAGATCTTGGCAAATTTGCAACAAATCGATTGTCTAAAGTCACAAGTCAGTTAATTTGATCAGCGCGCAGATTTTCCAGCCGGGGCAACAATCCGAAAAGACAAAAATTGAGTGAATGAAAGAAAGACGGAAGTTAGCATGGAAAGTTCGCTATCATGGCTAGCCATGATTTTGACCAATCTGCAGGTAAAAATGGTAGATTGCAGGAAATGAGCAATTTTTTTTTTAAGTGGAGGTTTTACGGCGCTTGCAACTGCATAAGGTCATACGAATGCCAGAAGGTGTTATAAGAGAGTAACAAACATATAAGGAGATAAGGACGATAGATGCTGAATAGGAAAAAAGAAGCAAACCACACCAGAACACCCAACAACCACCCACAATGCGCAATCTGGCAGGTTTCGAAAACATTAAGCTTACTAGCAATGACAATGAAAAATTAAATGTTCATCCAAATTGCTTTAAAATGGGCTTAAATGAAAAAAGACTAAATTCTAAGAACTATGGTTTTTAAATTTTAAAAATCCATTTATAAATAAACAAGTTATGGGGATTTTTGTTTACAAAATGTTGGAGGACCTTCATATAGGAAAATATCGCCAAAATATGGGACATGTCTTGATGTATTTTGAGGAAAAACTAAGTCAGTAATGAATTGGGGCATATGAATGAAACTTGGCATCTTCATGTGATTTTTAGTGCAGAATCTAGTTCTGCTATCACTGTTTCGATGTCTTTATTACTTTGGTTCTTAAAGACTGATATTTGCGTGAAATCGTTTTTACCGTGACGCGATCACCCCTTCTAAAACTCAGTCAAGCACTATCGGGAAAACCTGCGATGAAGTCATCAGCGGCCTATTTAGTTATAGGCAGCCAATCACATGCCGCCTAGCGATCACGCGCCTCTAGCATGCCGGCACCTGGCGTTTGGAATGCGTGATCTAGTTTCAGGCTCCAGTGTTTTATCAATGGATGGGTGGTAATTTTAAATTGGTATGTAAAATGTACTAAACGCAGAGATCTGAAATTTTACAGTAATAAAGAAGACATGTGGGGCGCCTGTGTGGTCGGCGATCAACCCGCAGCTCCGCTTAGTTTTCGAACCGCAGCGGAAATTCGCCACAAACACGGCAATATCTGCGGTTCTAGAAACCATTCGGGATTTTACGCTGGCATGTCGTTAAATTAACCTAACCTGTCCTCTGGTTGCCGAGTTTCATTTATTTTCGTCCACGAGTTTTCCCGTAACTATACTTAGAAGAGTCACTTCCGATTCTGAGCGGCCCAAAAATTACCCCTCACGTGGAGGCCGATTTCCGGCCCAAGGCGCAGCAGGCGATTGGCATTGCTAAGCTCACTGCTGAGAGATTTATCGTAAATATCCGCGAAACTTATAAAAGACAATACAAAGGTGAGTACGGATCCTGGGACCAAATTTCGGTAGCCTATGGGTAACGCACTTTTTTAACGGATGGGGTTTACAATCATTGCAGAGCAAGTACGGAACTCAGAAAGTATGGGTTTCCATTAAAATATGAAGATTGGAAGTAATATAATTAACTGGGGGTTTTTTCACCCAGTCCTACAAAATCCATGATTATAATATTGGTACGTTAAAATTAGACATGATGATACTTCCTTTATAAGAATTTGAATTCATTTTTAGAGTGGCAGCTCATTCTATAGCTTAAGATTTTTGGATTAAGACTCGCTTTCCAAATAAAGATTGTTGAACAAATGACTCTCCATCTGCTTTTCGTGCAATCAATCTTGCCATCTGTTTCCCGGTTATCTTTGTGTCATGATTCATATAAACGTGGAAGAAAAATTATTGCTCAAACTCGAGTAAAAACTTGAATGGCTCAAGTACACCTATTCAACGTGTAAGAACAGAGAGAGCAAGATGCAGTGACACTGAAAATCAGCCAATCCTGAACAGAAAGCTAAAATATAGATACAATTTACTTTCAGCTATCCAATGAAAGGCAAACACAAAAGGCACTTTGAAGAGAATCGAGATCTTGATTCTCCCGATCGAGCTCCGGTGTCACATACACTTCCGCCTGCCGCCATAGCCATCTGTTGGCGTGAAACGTACTCTTGGACCAGGAACATCCATATGAATATCACAAAATCGACTGGCAAAAATGAACTTACTGACCCAATCAAATTTGGTTTTTAAAACGGCTGAGCCGTTTATGAATTTTCAGATTTCCTCAAATTCCTAGGCCTCTGCGATTTTTATCAAACTACCGGAGCCTGGCAATCACTCGGTGTTACACTTTTCACAAATCTATAAAATACCTCATTACTTTTAATTTCAGAGAACTTTTGCTCTCTGGATGTGACAGAACCCCCCCCCCCCCCCCCCCATCCCTAAATGAGCCTTAAGACGCCAGAAAAGGTATAAAAAAAAGACTCCTTGTCACAAACCTGCCCATATCCCTGCTGCCCATAGCCTTGATTCCACGACTGATCGTATCCTTGACCATATCCTTGCTGTCCGTAGCTACCATAGCCTTGCTGACCTCCACCGTAATTGTTGTACATCTGATTCTGGTTCCATCCAGAGCCTCCATCTCCCATGCCACCCCAGCCTTGGTCGCCATTGTAGCCACCTCTTCCCATGCGGCCACCACCTCTTCCTCCGCCGCCCTGACGCGGTTCTGCTCTTTTGCACTCAACCTGAAACAAAGAAGACAATATGATCAATGATGCTTATTTTGCCTCTTCCAAGTCTGCAAACAAAGGACAGAGGAGACTTTTTCCCACTCTTATGCACTATCACAATCTTGGCGACCATTACCTCCCAATATTCTGAAAATGTACTTGAAAAATTCTCCATCATCAAAAAAAATATGACAATGTAATAAAAGCATGCTAATAATAGCAGCTCTGACAGCCTACAGTAAAGGTACAGTGACCACTTTTCCCTAGTAAGAAATTCAGTAAGAAAGAGGTGGCCCAGTCCACTGCCTTAAATGACATTTTAAGTTCTGCTCACATTAGGGTGCTTGTCACATTGTACCATGACTTTTTTCCAACAGGGTTCTAATATAGATTCCCCCTTCACTTCTAAGAAAATAGTGAGAGTTAAACGGACTGCATAAATATTAACCCAAATCTTAAAGAGACAGTAAAGCAAAATACTTTCTAAAGTGGAGCATAGTTGTCTAGACAACAAGAGGACACTATACTGAGCTCTGTCATACAAATGTGGCAACCAATCTTGCATAGTAAAAAAAAACCAAAACCCTACTGCTCATTCAGTACACCGAAGAATAATTTTCTAAGTAAATTGTTTCGTTCTGGACTAATGAAAGTGTAATGGATCCAACAAAAATGTGTGAGGGGGAAAAAGAGTGAATATGTCGAGTAGGGTGGCATTAAAACTGACCACTGAGAACAAACATCAGTCTTAAGGGTACACACAAGTCCAGGTGGCACCATAAAAGAAGTAAAATATTTCATTGTTGAACCACAATACAGCAAATAAGAGGATTGAAGAAAGAAAGTAACAAAAAAGTAACTTACAGAGCAGTGCTGTAGTCCATTTTAAGAATCTTTTCTTACATAGAGGACACACAAAACCAAGTGCCGTAAACATTCAGGCGTGCTCAGAACACCTGTTTTTTAAAAGCACTTTCACTTCCAATTTCTGGAATAACTTGAGGTAATTGTTACTTAAGTATGTGAGACAAATTTGCTCCTAAAAAAGCAAATGTCACAGATAAAGACAGAAAAACAAAGGAGCAATAATCATATTCATATTAAGCTTCACATGGTATAACTTCTTTTTCAGGGGAAATGTCTACCTTGACTACCTCTCAATTTTTGCTTAATGTAAAACCAAGTTGGAATAATTCTACAAAAAAATATAAACTCTCACAACCCACCATCCAACACAGATGAAGTTTCTGGGTTTTTTTCTTCTCACAGCACCATTTTTCCAACCTTCCATAAAAAGCAACATCTATTTTTAAAAGACTGTGTATCATAAAACAATGGAAGGAGTTATCACTTGGGTGATAAACAAACCTAAAACAAAAACTTAAAGGAACTGTGGTTAAGTTCCTACACTTAAACTGTTCCAAATTTATACTTGATAGTATCACAAAGGTTTTTGAATACCCTGGAATTCTACAGTAACAAAACATACTGGGTAGGAAAAGATGAGAAAGAAGCGGACATGTGGACAGTATAATGCATTGACCATAACGAACAAAATAGTTTCTGGGCACTGGAAATGCCAGTTCAGAAACAAGGAAGGAGGTCACAAACAAAAACAAAGCAGAATAGTAATAGAGATAAAAGTAAAAGTGTAATAATATATCTTTTAGCAGCAGATGAATCTTCGTGGGATCCAAGATATTCACAATAATGAAAAAGACTGTCTCTGTCTCAGCTTAAGCAATTGTAGAATATTTGCTTGAGCATATTGAGAAAGAGACAGCCTTTAACAAGGAAACCTTCAAACTATTTACAACTTTGAAGAGATTTAACAGAAAAACAGGAATGAAAGACAAGACAGACATTTTTGCACCTTTGATTAAGAAGTGACCCTTAATGATGGCAAACGACAAATGCTATAAAATTCCCCCCCATCATCCCATGCCAAAAGGAAATAAATTAAGCTATGCAATTAAACCAGATGATTAAAAAATATATATAGCTGCAGCAAATTAAGCTGTGAAAATGTCACGGACAATGGAATGTTCCTTCTAGAATTATATAAAAAATTTAATTTCAAAACGACAAATTTGATAAAAACACTGTCAAAAACTTAATTAAATTATTACAAAAATTGTACTATAATATTGTACAAAGTCAAAATTTGTAAGACATGACAATGTCATGAAGCTTAAATTAGTAAATTAACATCAAAATGTATGTAAGTAACTGAAAAAATAACTAGTTTACAACTAATTTAAGTTAATCTAAGGTTACAAACAGCTCAAAAAAGTGCAGCTAATTAAACATTGGATCATAAAAGACCTTGATTAATAATTGATTAATTAACTTAATTACCAAAGCACGAAGTTCAAAAACTTAAACTAAGGCCTGGTCTGCTGAAGACACCATCTTGCTTGTCGCGAAATATTTTCCTTAAAAAGCCATCTTCTTAACCAAACAAAGAGGGGCACAAGACCTGGCAACAACCAAGTCTAGAATGCAATACCAAAGTGACTTGTTTAACCTTTTTTCCGCTGAAGTCCAAATAGTGTTCCTTTACGGCTGCCTCAACTGCATCTTCACTGTCGAAGGTCAAAAACCCAAATCCTACAGGCAACATAACCGAAAAGAGAGAGATAACGATTGTATGATCAGCTACATTCTTATCGTAAAGTGGGGAAAAAAAGCACAGTACACATAACATGTTGACATACGCGAATTATGTGAATAATTTAGTTGGAAGAAGGCAATTCAACATTGTCAGTGCAAATTTTGTACAACTCATACATGTCCATCACTCATTCACCCAAAAGCAAGATAAAATAAGAGTACACGATAAAGTATTCACATTCTATTTTATTTGTGGAATGGACAAATGTTACAGCGAACACAAAAACAATTTTCCGAATTCCGACACTCCTGTTCTTGGGTCATGAATCCATGCTTGTTGTTGGGTCATGAGTCCATGCACTTCTGAACAATTTTATACAACACATTTGTTGTTCCTGGGACATGATTAGATGTAGCAGTGAACTTGAAAGCAGCTTTCCACACAATTCTTTGGTCCGCAACAACAACTAAAACTGGTTGACTTTCAAACATCAAGTGGATTAATTTTGAGCCTTTTTTAAAAAGGCATTCCACTGGTCCATAAACAATGGACGAAGCCAGGTACCCATTTTTATATTTCATAATTTGGATCCCTCAGCTTCTGATCAAGTCTTCACTAGTCATTCCAGTCACTTTAGAGCTTGACAGACGACAGAAGAAGGGCCCCAAGAACCCGAGTAAATGAGTGGACCATTTACAAAAAAAAGTTTCTCATAAAGCAAGATTTTTTTTGCTTAATGTTACTTTAAAAGTACTCTCCACAGCAACAGCATCTTAAAAATAACCTGATGCCACTAAGAATTTTACTTTTCATTTTCAGCAACTTCTATTGCATGAAAAGGAACAAAACAGAACACTTAACTATGGTGCAGCATACAAGGATGTTTAACAAGGTCAAAACCTTTAAACATTTCAGTGCTTTTTATGCATCTGATAGGCCACCATTTTTTTAAAAAAAACATTCATTCTTGCCTATCAACAAATCGGGTGTCAAATTATACTTCATACTTAGTTCTGAAAGAAACAAATTTCTGTCAAGCTTTTATCTCTACAACTAACACGAGTACCGCAATGCATTTGTCCCAAAAACTGCAAATGGCTACAAGAGGACAGAATGTCCAGACATTTTTGCACTGCTGAACGTCCTCAAAACCTCTAGGTAGCTCGAAAAAGGAGCAAGCTTAGAAGCTGTAAATTTGTATCTCTGAGCTGATTTCAAAACACCACTTCTAGAGACCAAAAAAAAAAACGATGCCTTGGTGTGAATGAATTTGCACCAGTGTCCCTTTTTTTTAAAAAAATCTTCAATCACATAAAGGACACTTCCTTGTCCTGTGGACAGCTTCCCAGCACTAACAGGCTTTTAGACAACTTCAAAGGGTGTTTGTGAGGAGGGATATCTGTAATTGTTGTGTCCAAATTCTGAGGGGTACCCTCGTTCCATGGTATTTGACACAGACAGCAAGCATACAGCCCAGCAATACAAAATGGACAGGCTTGTCAAGATCCACACATCTAGTGAATAACTATAAAACATGACTTTAAAAAAACCTCATATCCCAGCGTTCATCCAGCCATCCATTCATGTTCAAACAAACAGGGACAAACTATCAATGTTTGCAGACCTGTATGAAAGGAAATTTGTTAATCAATCCACCTGAACCTGCAAAGTTTCCCCATAACTGCTGTATCTCGTTCTTTAACTAGGCAAGCATCCTCAAAATTTCTTGTCACAAGTGATTGCAACAAAAAAGATGTGCAAACACAAGACAATGACAGGACAGTCAAGCCAAGTAACAAAAAGGAGTAACCAAGCATTCTCATTACTGACATCTAAAATCTATGTAACCAAAAACAATGCAGAGCTGTTCAAATGTGGAACAGCCAAAAGGGACCAGAAAAAGTAAAAACGTACAATAAAATTGTAACTACCATGAACAAAACTCTTAATATTTTAAAGCCAGCATAGAACCAGAGCATATTCAAACAGAGACCTGCGTTGGGCAACAGTACCTTCCAAATAACAAAAAAAAATTTGACAATAAGAGAACTCAGAACTCTTATTGTATTCAGGTGAAGCTTTTCATTGCAAATTTTCAAAATACTTTGCCAACTGGTACATAAGAATGCATGACTTAGAACAACCCCTAACCCCTTAAAGCACCAAGCTAAAGATTCCTTGCACCATAAAAATTACTTGCAACATCATTTCAAATTTACAGCAGTAAGGTACCCACCAGTGCCTTAAACCACAAACAGAAAAGACAATACCAATAGAAAAGAAAAGTAGAAAGAACATTAAAATAATCAAGGAGCCGACCAACCATCCACTACGAAATTCAATTGCATCACTCTTCCAATTTCGGTATCCACCATATGCTGGGCCATCCTGCTCAGTAACACTTAAAAATTATTAGCATTAAGTAATGCTGGACAGAAACCATAACCCAACAAACTGAAAGAAACACAAAACTGGAGAAATTATAAAAACACAACTTTCTGACGCTAGAATAAATACCAATCTAGCTTTCAGCGCAAGTAAAACATAAAAAGCCATAAAATGACAACGTTCGTGCTGTAAATGCTGAACACGTAACTCAACTGATGAAAAGGGAATAAACCACAAGATTTGTGATTAAACTGGGACAGTCTCCCCACTAGTCAAAATGGGGCTTTAAAAAAAATGGAAGCTGAACACTGCTGTAACAATAAATAATTCACTCGTTTGGTCTAAAGAAAAAATATACTTGAAATTCAGCAACCTAAGCCTCACTATGACTACAAATTTCACAAAGATTGTTCAGACGGAATATCTTGATACAACGGGTACCGATTTTGAACCTCCAACACGAAAGACGTCTTATGAGCACCATCTCAATGCCTTATCTTAAGGCTGTATATGAGTGCAAGGAAAATAGGAAGGTCATAACAGGAACGGATAAGAATTGTTCTACAGAAATAAACATAAACCCTACACCCGATATCCAATACACACTTACTTGTTTGAAACCAATTCACATAATTGTCATGTAGAGCTTGGAATAAGAAAGACTGACAGACAGAAACTACTAAAGGGGAGTAAAGAAAGAGGACCTCCCAATAGAAACTTCCCTCGTCTCTTTTGTATTAGAGGTTTTCATATGAGCACCAGAAGATTAGAGGTGTTACAAGAGAGTAACAACATAAACAAGAAGGAGGGGAGATAAGGACAATAGATGATTGATAGGAAAGAAGAAGCAAACCCAACCTGAGCACACGCCAACCACCCATTAAACCTCCCTCCTTTAATCAAAATTACACCCAAATTAGAACCACAGAGGAATGATTGCTATTAGAAAACAACTCTATATCTTGAAATGACACCAATTACGTGAAGGACACGAATGACTTTTGACAGATAATTGAAGAACAAGGTCGAACAAAAAACAAAAAACACAAAGACAAAAACAAACCAAAAAAAAAGCAAAAAAACAGTCCAACAAAAGGAAGCAAGTTTAGAGTACTGTTACCTCTTGGTCTGTTCTTTTCCTGGTCATACATGATCACAACATCTTCAACCTAAAAATGAAAAGAACATTTTTTTTAATGAAAAGGCGGGTTGGTGTTAAAATTGTGAATACTGTAGGCTCTGCCAAAGACCCCATCGCTTTTAGAATTTTTTTTAAAAACAAGTCGCCCACTCTGAAAGACTACATTCAAATAGTAGCAATGACAATGAAAAATTTAATTTTCATTCAAACTGCTTTAAAATGGGCTTCAATGAAAATAGAATAAATTCTGAGAACTATGGTTTTTAAATTTTATAAATCCATTGATAAAAAAGTTGAGGATTTTTATGAATAACAATGACAATGAAAAATTGAATTTTCACACAAATTGCTTAAAAATGGGATTAAATGAAAAAAGAGTAAATTCTAAGAATTATGGCTTTTGAATTTAAAAAATCCATTTATAAATAAACAAGTTATGGGGATTTTTGTTTACAAAATGTTGGAGGACCTTCATATAGGAAAATATCGCCAAAATGTGGGACATGTCTTGATGTATTTTGAGGAAAAACTGTTCATAAGTCAGTAATGAATTGGAGCATATGAATGAAACTTGGCATCTTCATGTGATTTTTAGTGCAGAATCTAGTTCTGCTATCACTTTTCGATGTCTTTATTACTTTGGATCTTAAAGACCGATATTTGCGAGAAATTTGAATTGCGTGACATCGTTTTTACCGCAATACGATCACCCCACTAAAACCCAGTAAAGCACTATCGGGAAAACCTACGATGAAGCCATCGACGACCTATTTAGTTATAGGCAGCCAATCACATGCCGCCTAGCGATCACGTGCCTCTTGCATGCCGGCACCTGGCGTTTGGAATGCGTGATCTAGTTTCCAGCTCTAGTGTTTTATCAATGGATGGGTGGTAATTTTAAGTTGGTACGTAAAATGTACTAAACGCAGAGATCTGAAATTTTACAGCAATAAAGAAGACATGTGGGGCGCCTGTGTGGTCGGCGATCAACCCGCAGCTCCCCTTAGTTTCGAACCGCAGAGCGGCAAAATCTCAGGTTCTAGAAATCGATCGGGATTGTACGCTGGCATGTCGTTAGTTTAACCTTTCCTCCGATTGGTTGCCGAGTTTCATTTATTTTCGTCCACAAGTTTTCCTGTAGCTATACTTAGAAGAGTCACTTCTGATTCCGAGAGGCCCAAAAATTACCCCCCCCCCCCCCCCCACCTTCCCTTAAAATTTCCGCTATTGTTGAAGACAGCCCGCTTCCCTTTTCCCCTCCTTGGGTTTAAAAAAAGTTTTAATGAAACCGTCCAAGATGTCGGCTGTGGACCACAGCTTTTCATGTCAACAATGGGTAGCCCTGTCTTGGACATATTTGGCTCTTTATATATAGAGTTGGGTTCAAAGGCCCAGCCGGTGGGATCAAGGATCTCTTATCCGATCTGCAAGCAGTGGTCAAAACTCCATACCTCTCAACTGCTATCCTGTCTGATAATGACATGCGTCAGTCTTACTTATTCAATTACCACCCGAGCTTGCCTTTCAAAGGACCACCGTTTGACCCATTAAAAACAGAAACGTTTGAACATCTTTGCTTGTACCCTTAGCCCCACCCAACGGTGTAACAAGCAGTCAATCAATGCCAACCCTCACCGCCATCATGTAACAACAATTCGAGGAACTAATTTCTCGGCTGGCGTACGATCAGGGCGGCAGGCATTGGTCAAACTAACTTCGCACCTCTGGCTTCTAGCTACCCTGGGAAGTTTCCGTAGTGGCTCGCTACTCGAGCATCTTCACAGGCAGTCGTGAGATTTTACACCCACACTACCCTGACCATCTGCATCTATCAGGGCTCACATGATGGGGTAATACGGTAACATCTACCCCCAAATTGAACCCCTTCTCGGCCCAACAACATGGCTATGGCGTTAAGATTATAGCCAGCGGAACCAAACTTGCAAGTTTTGTTTCAAATCAGGGCCGAGCAGGCTAAATTTTTTTCGTCTTAGACAGGTGAAACCCTCGGAAGGGAGCGGATTTTTCTTTCAGTTTCCGCGTTGGCACAGGTTTCCGTTTTATACAGGTAATCAAAGAGGAATATATCAAGGGGGGAGCGGGGAGACTGTATAGTGGAACAAAAAATACAATTAAATAAAATAAAATAAACACTCTAACGTACCTGTCCAAATCTTGAGAAAAAACTCTTCAGGTTGTCTTCATTTGCATCATTCGGTAAACCCCCAACAAATATCTTTGTTGTTCTGCCGGTGAAACCACTTCCGCCACCACGTCCACCCTGTGAAATATACTTTCCTTTAAATACAAAAAAGTACATACTGAAATGAAATTTAAATTCAAGATCACAGTTGACCATGATACAATTTAGGGTGCTGTTCCTCAAATCAACATCTTGTCAGAAAATACCAAATAAAATCCTTCAATTCACGAATGTACGTTGTTTTGGTAAGGTTTTACGGCGCTCATAACTGCATAAGGTCATATGAGCGCCAATCATGAATGTTAAATGTACAAAGGAAAAATGGAGACGAAGTTCTTTTTTATAAAATGGGTGTTTAACTAATATCTAGAGGATGCTAAACATACCCTTCCGCCAGCTCCACCACCGCCGCCGCCACCACCTCCAGAGCCCCTTGCACTGCAGGGCTTGGCATCCACCTGAAAAATATACAAATACATACAAGTTTAAAATTGTATTATTAAACAAGAACGATGCTGCAGATGCTTGTACCTTTAGGTAAATTACTTTTTAAAATAATTTTATTACTTATCCCGCAATGGAACATTTCCAGAGAAATCAAATTTACAGTAGCGCAGATTAAGGAATTACGTCAAAATATGACAAATAAAACCTGCTTCTTGTCAAGAAAATTTTAAAATTTTGTTGACTAAACTTGGTAATTGAGTACTGGTTGGATAACACTTAAGACTGTCTGTAGTAACTCAACAATGATAAACATATCCCTTAAAAACAATGTTGGTAAGAATTTTACAGTACCTGCAACAAAAATTTGGTCATATAAGAAGATTTCAGATGATAAAGGAAGAATAACAAACAAAAAAGGGAGAGATAAAGAAAAAACATGTTTGACAGGAAAGAGGGAACAAATAACAGACCACTTGCCAACCACCCACTACTAACATAATTTTCTCATGACAAGCTTGACAGAGGGTACCATATTTTAACTGGTCCTTACATTTCGTCCATCAATACTGTGCTTTCCAGCAGACAAAACAACATCAACTGCAGAAGGGTCACGGAAGGTGACAAATCCAAAGCCCCTTGACTTTTGAGTCTGCTGATTCTTCATGACAATGCAATCGGTAACCTCTCCATACTGAGAAAAATATGACTGCAAAGCATCTGAAAAGTATAAAAATTAAGTTTTACTATAAAAAGGGGATGGGGGGGTGGGGGTGTATGTGTGAACAGATGAGACTAAAAACAAGGAAAGCAAGTAACAGATTGTTAACCCCCCACCATGCTGTTATCTGTTACAAAGAAAGAGTAGATAATAGCAATTCACGGATATCATAACCCTGAGTATCTCACTAACCCAATCCTCACTGCAGCTCCGGAGTTCACAAGATGCTAATGACTGCTCAGATGATCAGGACTTTTATGCTAAACAGAGGGAGAATAATTCAACACATTTTTTTCCTTCAAAATATAAATTCATCAAATTTCTTTTAATGTAGGTGTTTTACACCCCATCAGCACCAGAACATTTTGGAAGCAGTCCTCAAACCCGGGCTGATAGGGATACAACATCCCAGCAGTGTAAGACGAAGTTAACCTTATCTATTCCATAACTGCAACACCAAATAGAACAAATATGTGGTGGTGGTGGTAGTTTTCAATGCAAGACACTCGGCTCTACTGGTCTTCAAATCCACTTTCAAGGTTGCCTTGCAAGCAAGCTCTGACAAAAAGCCTGAAAATTTTTCAGTATAAAATTCTATGCGCAGCATTTCAGTAAAAACATAAGATATTAACATGAGCCCAAAATATTTAATACGTAGACCTAGGCATATTAGAAAAACCTAATTTTTTTTTTTAATAGAACAATAGGCCCTAACTACATTGGGGGGTGTTTTTTTGTAAGAGTTTAGCGGCACTTGCAACAATATGGTCCAAGTGCCGAAGAATAGAGGTGTAACAAGACAGTAACATGCACAATAGGGGAGATAAGAACGATAGATGTATGATAGGAAAGAAGGAGCAAATCACACAAAAGCACCCACCAACCACCCACACTGTGTCATGGATGGGGGAAAGTCTTGCTGTAAAGAAATTAGGTGTAAAACTAGATTTTCAAGTTTTAAACTAGGTAGCCTATCTGTTTCAATACCAGATCTAGGTGCCTAGTTTCTGACTCGTTTTGTTGTTTATTCTGATTTTGTAAAAATACTAAGTACCCTATTTATTCAGGTTTGATTTTTTAATGAACAATGCCCAACCCCAAATGGAAGTGCACCAGAGTTCAACGACCCATTCTGGTCTTCCTTCAGGAAACTTTTTCCAGATTTCCGGCTTGAGCCAGAAAACTGGCAACCTTGCATTTTGTAAGGTAAATCAGGGTACTTCATAACTTCACTATTGGCAAACTACCACTATCACCACTGTTAGGTTGTAAAATATTTTTAGCAGCCCCAAGGTAAAAGCAGAACTAGGACTATACTTACCCTTATCAGTGTCCCAGCTCAGGCCCCCGACAAAGATTTTTCTGCGAAAGAAACAAGGAAACATGAAGGAGGCAGTAAAAATAGAGAACATGCAAAAGTTTTAGATCTAGATCTATATTGTCAGGTGATGAATAATGACGTAGCATTTTTCAGTCTTGACCCTTAGAGTACTTTACCAGATATCAGTTCCAGACTTAAAACTTTAATACTCCGTTTCAATGTTAAACCCGAAAGAGACCGTGAGACAGAAACACTGCTGTTTTGTTGTAATATTTGGGCTGTCTAGATCTAGATCTATGATTAGCCTACAGACTAAAGTCAACTCTACATAAAGTCTGGATTTTTGCCAATCACTTTAAGTTCGTCTTCTCAACTGTTTCAGATGATTTCTTCCTAAAGGCAACAAGAATTTCATCTTTAAATTTAGCAAAAGCTTTGTCAAATTCGTCGCAAGATTTAAATGCCTGCTCTAGAAAGCCTTCCTTGTCAGGCGGAGATTAGATAACTAGGTCGAGATCTAGAACCACCACGCTGCGAAGCAAAGCGGAAATGGTAGATCTAGATGTTAGATTTTTGGCAAAATCGGTTAGGGAACTTCCAGACTGGGCGCATTTTCGGCAGTTTCCACCCCGCTTATTTGAGCCTAGATCTAGATTTATAGGTAATGTTTGATGCTCGGCGAGCGAGAGATATCAAACCTATTTGCAAAACATCAAATTATGATAAATTCAAAAATTCAAGCTCCCCTGAAACCACCCTAGCATACCATTGGGGCCAAAACCGGCGAAAAAGCACCCAATCTGGAGATTCCTTGACTGATTTTGCCAAAATGGCCGCCTCCCTGGGCCGGGACATCACAACTCGACTTGTCCCGCAAACTGCATGGCACCAAAGATCGTGTATACCTCCCATGGCAAGATGTTTTTCCAGGAGACGTACTGGTAATGTGATATGATGAAGTGCTCTGATGATGCTGCTGCTTATCTCTTCCGCGCATTGTTTATCGGGCCGGTGGGGATCTAAAGGCGTCTTTGCGGCAATTTTAGCATGCTTTATTTTCTTTGTGTTTACTGTGTTTCAATTTCAAGCATCAGCGTTCTTATGGTTCTGAGCATCAACGATCTAAGCCACCTTCCATTACCAGAGCATGGCTGACGTGCTGCAGTTATAGCTGCAAGTGAGAAATTTTATCTTACGAAACATCGATATGGATAATACATCAAGCCACTGACCCAACAAGTCATTCCATGCGTTAGGCCCCTACCCCAAAAGATTCGGCACTAGTTGGATATGATCCCGACTTTTGTGTAGTGTAGACCTACTGAAATATCGATACTGATTTCAATAGTCGGTATCAATTTTTTATCAGTAGCCTAGATCTAAATCTAGCCTACAAAATGAGCAGTAAAATTTCACTTGTTTTTCACAAGGCAAGGGGGGATGCCCCCCTGACTTTAAAAAAACAAAATATGGGGTGTTTCAGAGGGGCCTGGGGGCATGCCCCCCTGAATTTGACCACGATTTGATGGGTTTTTTAAAGCAGGTTTGAAAGGCTATCTCTCCAGCACGTGAATCAAAAAGTAATTGTTTAGACGTAGAACCAGAAGTAATCGTCGTTGGGGTCAAAACTAGGTTCCAGATTTTCTCTGGGTTATATTTCTGTCTCAAAAGTGATAAGTCACCATATCCAAGTCGTGCCAAAGATCTACAAGATCTTTGGTAGGCCTTAAAAATGGAAGGACTTCTGTAACGAACGACCGCCCTATCAAACAATAAAGAAGAGAGGCCTAACCCTAAATTCTGCTCTGTCTAGTAGTGGTCGCTCGTTACGGAAGTCCTCCCTTAAAAATAATATGACACAATCTGTGGGTATCCCAGGTAGTGATGACATCACATTACAAAAATTAGAGGTCAATCAGAAAGATGCGTCGTTCTACCTTTAGTCGCATGTGGCCGTTAAGTGTGTTCAACAGCCAAAATATGTGGAACAAAATCAAGATCTAATCTATTCTAAGGCCACCTCTAGCGCAGGCGGGTCTTTTGGCTATTCTCACCCGGTGCACGTTCACCGTTATAGCCTAGATCTAGGCCAACCAATTTTGCGTTCACCCTAAAACACAGAACGAAGTGTATACAGACCCGGTAACCGGGAACAAAGTCACAAAGTATAGACCCGGTAGGGGAACTCTTTTGTGATTTCGGAAAGTTTCAGCGCCTAGCCCCGTAGTGTGTGTGTGAGAGAGAGAGAGAGAGAGAGAGAGAGAGAGAGAGAGAGAGA